ATCGGGTCAGGTGTGGCCAAAGGGCCAAGAGAGCACGACTACCTCCTGGTTGACGCCAAGCGCAGCATCGAGTTCATGTACCACACGAACTACATCGCCCCCGACGCCCCGGACGAGTCGAAGGGCAAAGGCAAGGGCGGGGGCCAAGGGGGAGGAGCCGGGAAGACGACCACCACCTTCGTCCTCCGATCCACCGGGCCGGAGGCCGAGAAGAACGTCGACAGCTTCATCGAGGAGGCCCTGGAGCACTACAAGAGCCTTGGAGACGACATGAACCCTGAACGTAGGGTCATACACCCTAGAGTCCTTATTGGGTTTGTGAGCCCTAAACCCTTTTTAGGGCCCATTTCACAAGGAAGCAGCGCTCGAAGTCCGTCGATCGGTCCCGGTACTTCTTCATGCCCCAGATACAGAAGTCGGACTCCGACTCCATGGGCATGGGCAAGGGCTATGGGAAGAGCTCCCAGGGTGCCGTGTACAAGAAGTACCTGCTTTCGGGGCACAAGACCTTCGACTCCCTCCACTTCCCGGAGAAGGGCCAGGTCCTGCGCATGCTGGACGACTTCCTGAAGATGGAAGGCCTAAACCCTAAACCCTAAACCCTAAACCCTAAACCCTAAACCCTAAACCCTAAACCCTAAACCCTAAACCCTAAACCCTAAACCCTAAACCCTAAACCCTAAACCCTAAACCCTAAACCCTAAACCCTAAACCCTAACCATAAACCCTAAACCCTAAACCCTAAACCCTAAACCCTAAACCCTAAACCCTAAACCCTAAACCCTAAACCCTAAACCCTAAACCCTAAGCCCTAAACCCTAAACCCTAAACCCTAAACCCTAAACCCTAAACCCTAAACCCAAACCCTAAACCCTAAAGGCAAGTTCGCCATGCCCGGCTTTCCCAACAAGCTCGGGCTGCTTCTGCACGGGCCGCCCGGGACGGGGAAGACGAGCCTCATCAAGAGCATCGCCGAGTACACGGGCCGGCACATCGTGGACGTGCCCTTGACCAAGGTCAAGACCAACCAGGACCTTAAATTGTAATTATCTACATATATATATATATATAAATATCTGATATATATATGTGTCTGCACATATATATATATATATATATATATACATACCACGATGTTGCCCCAAGAAGGGGACACAATGTGACAATGACCCAAGTGACCAGGAGCTCTTTGACAAGATGTTCGACCTGGTCTTTGCCGTCCCTGGTGAGGACGAGGCCGTGCGGATGCGCTTTGACAACATCGTCTTCGTCATGGAGGACGTGGACGCTGCATCCAAGGTCGTGTACCGCAGGGCGCCCGCGAAGGACAAGAAGAAGGGCAAAGGGAAAGGGAAGTGGAAGGGGGACGAAGGCAAGGGGAAAGGGACGCCGGAGGAAGGAAAGGGGAAAGGGACGGAGGAGGAAGGAAAAGGCCAGGGCCCCAAGGGCCTGAAAGGCCTGCCGTCGGCCCCGCTGAAGCTGAACCGGGCCCAATCACACACGCTGACCCTCGTCCGAACGATCACCATCGGATCGGAGCCGTACCTAGGTAGCCCCTTGGGAGATTTTTATCTTTCCCTTTATTGGGTTGAAGAGGGTTTTCTTCAGGAATCTTTTTCAGAGAACGCCTTTGGGACATTATTGGGGCCCTTCGATATCCCCCCTTATCGGGATGAAAGAGGATGATATTCAGGAACTTGGGCCATGTTTACAATTCCCCTTATCAGGGGTTGAAGAGGACTATATAGGCATCTTTTTCAGAGGGCGTTTCGGGGGCATTCTGCACCCCAAGCCCAAAAACCCTAAACCCCGAACCCCAAACCCTAAACCCTAAACCCTAAACCCTAAACCCTAAACCCCAGGAATCTTTTTCAGAGGGATTTGATGGGGCCATCCTAGGAACGCAGCAGCCGATGTGGCCGAAGTGGAGGATGAGTTCGAGGAGCTGGACATGGAAGACGAGGAGGAGGAGGAGCTGGGTTTAGGGTTTAGGGTTTAGGGTTTAGACAATGCTGGCAGTCATCAAGTCCGGTTTCAAAAACGGGTTTAGGGTTTAGGGTTTAGGGGTTAGGGTTTAGGGTTTAGGTTTTGGGGTTTTAGGGTTTAGGGTTTTAGGGTTTTAGGGTTCCAAGCCCGAAACTCATCGGCCTCTGAAGCACCTCCCAACACACACACACCTCCAACGCATCTTCGAGGATCACGCCCCCCCCCCCCCCCCCTCCCCCAAGAAGGAAGAAGCAATGAACAAGTCACACACACCAAGCACAAAACCAAGCAAAGTTTGAAAGAGAGCCCTGGGCGAAACCCCAAACCCTAAACCCTAACCCCTAAAACGTGATGAAACCCTACACCCTAAGCCCTAAACCCTAAACCCTAAACCCTAAACCTTAAGCCCCCCAATTCAGGAGCTGGAGAGATCTGAGAAGAAGTCCAGCGACTCCGTTGAGCACTTGGCAGCTGCCATCGGCAGGCTCGGTGGCAGTGGCTCCTGTGCTGTTCAGTTTGCTTTGGGTAGGGTTTAGGGTTTAGGGTTTAGGGTTTAGGGTTTAGGGTTTAGGGTTTGGGGTTTGGGGTTTGGGGTTTGGGGTTTGGGGTTTGGGGTTTGGGGTTTGGGGTTTGGGGTTTGGGGTTTGGGGTTTGGGGTTTGGGGTTTAGGGTTTAGGGTTGAGGGTTGAGGGTTGAGGGTTGAGGGTTTAGGGTTGAGGGTTGAGGGTTTAGGGTTTAGGGTTGTAGGTTGTAGGGTTTAGGGTTTCGGGTTTGGGGTTTAGGGTTTTGTCAAGTAAGTTGCCCTACGACCTGTGCGTACTCTTGGTGTCAAAACTTTCGTGCCTCTTCGGCGGAATGGTGGCGGGGTTCTTGCACCTCCCTTGTCAAGTCTCTCAACAGCCGAGGTGGTGACGGGCAGACCACCACCTTCTCAGGCCGCCTCTTGCAGGATGCCGATGAGCTGAACCTCTCAGGGGTCCTGAACGTCTTGGATGGGGTTGTGGCGGCCTGGCAGCATAGGTTTCCGAAAATTCGGGGTGCCTCAGTAAGGGATCCTTATCAGAGGGGATCCTTCTATCGGTGGTTCCCTATGTTCGGAAACCCCGTAAAATCTACGCAGCGCGGGTGGTCGACTTTAAAGCTTGCGCTTGGGCACATGTTCAATGGACCCACTAGAGCAACAACTCCCACAGAATCCCTACAGTAGTCTTTCGAACCAGCCGGTTGCAGACATGGAGCCCACGCTATCTTATCGTGATGCCCTGATGGCTCGCCCTGCCGCTGTAGTGACTTCTGTGGGACTAAAGTGCCCAGGACTCTCCCGGCCGCATCCTCATCATGACCACGAACCACCCCGAGAAGCTGGACCCTGCCCTCATCCGTCCCGGCCGCATCAACTTCGCCATCGAGCTCGGGTACATGAAGGGCGACTGCCTCTGCGAGCTCGCGGCGCGGCTCATGGGGGAGGAGCTCACCGAGTCCCAGAAGGAAACTGCCTGTGACATCGCCTTGAAAGGGAAGGTCACGCCCGCGAAGGTGGAGCAGTGCTGCGCCGAGGCCACCTCCGTGGAGGGCCTGCTGGCGGCGCTGAAGAAGATCGCGGAGGAGGTGAAATAAGCCTCACAAATGCCCCCCGAATCCTGGTCCTAATATTCAGGACAGCGTTTGGGGGGGAAGGCCGATGTTCTGTTGCTCTGTGCTCTCATCACGTTTCAGACGGTGTGCCCGTGCAGACTGGCGCGAAGAAGACATCACTTCAAATCGCAGAGATCTCATGGAAGCAGGAAAAAGAGAGCGAGCGGGATGGGCGGCCGGTGCTGGGAGCAAGTCACCCTATACCCTAAACCCTGAACCCTAAACCCTAAACCCTAAGCCATCCTAAGCCCTAAGCCCTAAGCCCTAAGCCCTAAGCCCTAAGCCCTAAGCCCTAAGCCCTAAGCCCTAAGCCCTAAGCCCTAAGCCCTAAGCCCTAAGCCCTAAGCCCTAAGCCCTAAGCCCTAAACCCTAAACCCTAAACCCTAAACCCTAAACCCTAAACCCTAAGCAAGCAACCAGCAACAATTTTGCTCAGGGTACACGGTCACAGCTGGATGGCGAATCATGAGCGACCTTGGCCGGCTGCCTGTCAGGATTGCTGTATATTGCTTTGCCTGTGCAGGCATCGGTCGCCTGCTTCGCTGCACTTATACGGTTCTTGCCTCAGACTATCTTTTTCAGCAACGGCACATGTGCTGTCAGTGAGACTACCTGACAATGAGGTCTTGTGGGCGATCAGTCGAAACTCTGCAGATCTGATTTCGGTCGTGAGAAAAAGGCCGTGCCCGTAGTGTTTGGCAACAAGGGCTGCTGGCATGCTGAACAAGAAGTCCAGTGTTCATGCAATCACCATGGTACGTGGTGACTTTATACATTTAGGCTCGAGCGCCGAGCGCAAGTAAGAAAGAAAGCAAGAACGAGCACAAGAGATTCGCGAGACCGACACTTTTGGCACCAAGATGACTCTCGATTCCAGCTCCCCGGCAAGATCTCAAATAGTGGCTGCTTGTTTGCCTGTGGGCGGAGCAGTGGTCGTCCTAGGCGGCCTGGCGATCTGGAAGCGCAAGCAAGCATCCAAAGCTCGGGAGTCAGAGTCAGCAGAGTCGTTGCCTTTGCCTCCTCTTGTCTCAGGGGGCAGCTGGCTCTTCGGCCACTTGACAGAACTGGCGGGTGAGCAGCGCTATGACACCATCAAGGCTTGGGCTGAGAAGCACGGCTCGACCTTCCGCATTCGCTTGCCCTTGTGGCACAGAAGTGGCTTCCTGGGTCTGCAACGTGCGCACGGAGTAGTGGTCATGTCCAAGGAGGATCAGCTCAAGGGCCTGGGCGGCCACGAGAGCCCTTTCGAGGAGCGCACTTCCACGGATGTCATCTTCGGGAACCTGATCTTCAGCGGCTTGACCATGGGCTGGCACAAGGGTGGGCACGACCATGCCCAGAGGAAGAAAGAGCTGCTGAAGGCCATGGCTCCGAAAGTGTTGAGGCAGCGGCTGCCGGAGCTCTTTGCTTGTGCCCAGGAGTTTTGCGACCGTGCGCAGCAGCAGGCGAGTGCTAGCGGCGGCAGCGTGGAGGTGCATGCGAATGAGGAGATGGTGCGCATCATCTGCGACATGTTTGCCAGCGCCCAGATGACGGGCTACCGCATGGGCTCCGTGTCGCGCGACGGGCCAGGCGACGCCTTCTTGAATGACATGGATGAGACCCTGAACTACTCTCTCAGCGCCACGGGATGGATGGGGTATCACCCCCTGAGCCGACTGTTCATCGGCCTCTCGGGCCTCCTTTCTCCCGCTGGCCGCCAAGCACGGGCGGCTCGAAACCGATTCTTCGAGACCGCTGCCACAATCCTGGCTGCACACGAGCAGAAGGAGGCAGATGGCCGCTACGATGAGAGGCGAGACGGCGTGAACATCGCGGGGGTGGTTGCAAAGCTTTACAAGCAGGGCAAGGTGTCACGCAGGGATTCTGTGTCCGACCTGGTGAACTACATCTTCAGCTCTCATGACACGGGTTTCGGCATGGCTTTCTGCGTACACGCTCTGTCTTCCAGGCCCGAGCTGCAGCAGGCGTTGCGCGAGGAATTGGAGGTGGCCCTTGCAAGCTGCGGCGGCAGCGCCATGGACCTTGCAGCAGCTGACGCGGCGCTGTTCGTGTCGGCAGACGAGCGCCTGCCGCTTTTCAATGCCGTGCTCAAGGAGTCACTTCGTCTATGGCCGGCTCCACTGTGGCCTGGTACCTGTCCTTTGCTACCAACAGGTGGCTTGACTTGGCGGGAGTGCACGAGGAGCAGCAGTCTCGGGGGCTTCCGGGTGCCCAAGGATTGGATGGTCTGCGTGCCCTTCTACCAGGCCCAGCGGGATTTGAGTACTTGGGGCAGCGATGCGGAGGAGTTTCGGCCGGAGCGATGGCTGCAAGCGGGAGCAAACGTGCCAGCGGGTGCCTACACACCTTTCTCCAGTGGACTTCGCGCATGCCCTGGCATGAACCTTGGAAACACTGTCCTGAGAGTAACTCTTGCCACTTTGCTCTTGCGGCATGACATTCTGCCCGCGCGAAATCCTAGGGACACCAGCATTTTGGCACTTTACCACGGCGGATTGCAGTGCGCCCTGCGGCCACAGGTGCGGGAAGAGCTGCCTTGCCTCATCAAATCGAAAGGCATGCAGCGTGAGCTCAAGGCTGCACCAAGGCCACCATCAGCTTTCGGCAACGGCCACAGCAAAGAATTGCACGACAAGCCCCTGCTGGTGCTGTACGGCTCCAACATGGGAACCTGTGAGGAGCTGGCAGACCGTTGGGTGAGTCTTGGTGAGATGCTAGGCATGCCTTGCAGCAAGGCGTCCTTGGCTGAGGCCATCAGCAGCGACGGCCCCGTGGATCTTCGTTCTGCTGGCACAGATTGTATTGTTGCGATCATCACCAGCACGTACAATGGCCAAGCCCCAGACAATGCGGTGGACTTCGAAAGATGGCTCGAGTCCGATGGGGCAAGCGCTACCGTTCGAAACCTTCGGTTCGCTTGCTTTGGCGTCGGCAACCGGCAGTGGACCAGCACCTTCTTGTCCTTCCCCAGACGTTTGCAAACTCGCCTGGAAGAGCTCGGCGCTGTGGCGCTGGTGCCCATGGGTGAGGGCGATGCGAATTCAGGGCAAGTGTCGTCAGCCTTCGATGCTTGGAATCGCTCTCTGTTTTCAGAAATCTTCAAGACTTTCAAGCTGCCCGTCCCTGCGGGCATCCAAGATTCTCTCAATCCAAGCTTCGAGGTCGCGCTGCATGTGGGCATGGAAGCCAGAGAGATCCAGGGTGGGGATGCAACGTTGATCTTGGAAGACGCGCTGGCGCGGGCCAAGGGCAGCTTCTTGAAGAACTGCCGGTCTTGGGTCACGCAGGTGAGCCTGAACACAGAGCTCCTCACGGACGAGGCAGTAGCTCAGGGGCGTTCCACCCGCCATATAGAGGTGGCCTTACCCGAAGGTCACAGCTACAGAGCCGGTGACCATCTCGGGGTATGGGGTGCCAATCCGGATGAGGTGGTAGCAGCTCACATGGACTACTTCCGTTTGCCTCATGATTCCGTTGTGTCTTTGTCTCTCCTCCGGCAGTCTGATGCATCATGCCTGGTGCCACTGCAGCGCAAGACTGACGTCTGGAGCACGCTTGCTTACTGCTTCGATCTGCAGCAGCCCGCAAGCATGGCGCAGATCGAAGTTCTTGCTCCTCTGGCTGCTTGCCCGGCAGAGAGAGCTGACTTGGAGCAACTTTCCAGCGATGCTGGATGTCATGCGGCAAGGGTCCTGGCAGGCAAGCGCACGCTGTTGGAGATCCTCCAAGCTTACGGCTCCGTGAAGCTTCCGTTCGGGAAGTTCCTGGGAATGTTGCCCGCGATGAAGCCCAGGTTCTACTCCATTTCATCGTCCCCAATCAAGTGTCCGAACAGCTTAAGCATCACGGTGAGTGTAGTGGCAGGCACTACGCCGTCCGGCAGGAAGCACATTGGAGTCTGCTCGAACCACCTCAAAGAGCAGCCTCGATTACGGCCGGCAAGTGTAGGCCTGCCTGCTGATGCTGAGCATTACATGCCACTGATCCTGTTCGTGAAAGATTCTGGTGGTCTTTTCAGGTTGCCAGAGCCCAACGTGCCAGTCATCATGGTGGGACCTGGCACAGGTGTCGCTCCCATGCGCGGCTTCCTGCAAGAGCGTGCTGCGCAGGGGGCCAGAGAAAACATCTTGTTCTTTGGCTGCCGTGACCGGCACGAGCTCCTTTACCAGAGTGAATTGGAGGAGTTGCAAGCTTCTGGATACCTGAAGCTGTTCGTTGCGCTTTCCAGGGAGCCTTCGGTACCTAAGACGTACGTTCAGAACCTCATCGAGCAAGAAAGCGATCTGGTAGTTGATTTCTTGCAGCGAGGCGCACGCATCTACGTGTGTGGGGATGCCTCCAGGATGGCGCCAGAGGTTCGTGCCACATTCCAGCGCGTTGCAGAGAAGATCGGATTGGGCGACTCCTTTGTGGCATCGATGGTGAAGCAAGGCCGCTACTGCGAAGACGTCTGGGCCTGACAGCTTTCGAACAAGGAAGCTCAAGAATTCAAAAGAAAAGACATACGGGCTGTCTGTGTTGGCAGCTCTTGCTTGTACAGAGGTCCTCAAACTGCACGGACTTCTTGCATACCTGGGCCTGATTTTAATTGATTGGAGATGACCGATTCAGCATCTCACTTCTGCTTGTAAAGAGCCGTCAGGGCGTGATGGATGCATTTGAAGAGTGGGAGTTTACCTTGTACAGGCACCGATCAGCCCTTCAACGGCACGATTGCAGAGCTTCTGTACAGCTTGCCAGCTTGCTCCGAGTCCGATGCGAGTCTGTGGCATACTGTTGTATTCCAGGTCATCCAGGAGTTCACAAGTGTTTTCTGCTCCTGCCTGAACGATAGCTACTGCAGCTACTCCGGAGCTAAATTTCCATTCGAAGAGCATGTTAGTATCTGATGTCGCCACGACCCAGCCTGCCGGGCTGTGCATGGCTGTGCATGCACGTGAGTCGCGCGTGCATGCTGGTGCGCTGCCATTTTGGCTCATGTTGCGCGCGAGGGGAAAGAGGAGAAGTGTTGTCTTGGGCAGTTCAATTCCTGGCACTGAACTGAGGCGGCCGCACGAAGCTCCTTGCATGGGCGCATTATATGGTGAGGCCGACCTCCGGTGAAAGCAGGGTTGGGATCGAGCCCCGAATGCCCCGACTGTGGGAGGCGTCTAGGGCTGCCGGCAGATGGGTCAGCAAGCGCGTGCCACGATTCTATCACATGATCATTGTTTTTTTCACGGTCATTCTCTCTCTCTCTCTCTCTCTGTGTGTGTGTGTGTGTGTGTGTGTGTGTGTGTGTGTGTGTGTGTTTGGTGCTTCCCTTGGCATGGAACTTGGGACCCACGAAGCCGAAGAGTTGAGACAAATGGGGAGCTACAGATCTGCTCGTCGATGAAGGCATCATGGAGGCCTTGTTGACTCGACCGGATGCAAAGCCGTGCTCTGTATTGTGTGGTCTCGCTCACACCTCTTGGTATCTAGGGCGATTGGTGGTGGTCGAGGTGTGAATGGCAAGCGTGGGCATAAGCAATGTGAAGGTTGTCTGTGGAGGAAAGCTAAACGTGCAATCCTTGTTGGAACCGTCAGCAGACTGACCATACCTGCACACACCAGTGAACATCAGTGAACATGGAAGGCCCGCAAAGGCGTGAACGTGCCTGACTGCGAGATCGATTGCGCCGACCTCGCGGAGAAGGCGCCCGCGATTGTCGCCGAGTTGTTTCTCCGGCGATTCGTTGGAAACTTTGTGGCGGGGCTACCTTGCAATGGTTGCTTGTGGGGACATTCACTGTTCCATCTTGGCTGTCTGGCACTTCTGCTGTACCTCTCTCAGGTGTCATTTGCCCGGGCTCAGGAACTTAATGGACCGACTGAAGGTTCGACAGTCTCAGCGTTCGAGAGTGGGTTGTTTTTGGGTGGTCGGGGAGGGGGGGGGGGGCTTTTCAACCTACACGGGGGCCCTACAGCCCTAAAGTAGGACAACCGCCCCGCAAGAATGCGTTCTCGAAGCATGCCGCACTCGAAGGCCGTGATAAACATGGAGGGTATCATTGATAAGTCTCAGGCCCCCATGGTGCCTGCAAGCCTGAGCCTGATACTCACCTTGCTGGTCCTCCAGTCCTCTGTCCGAGATGGGCAATGGCTCAATTCTGATGCTCTTTCCGCTAAAATCTACTACGGCGGCTGGTGGCCCCGGTGAGGGGCACGGACCTTTCGAGCTCACCTTCATGTTCACCTTCCTGGCGAAATTGCAAAGGATGGCGAAGCCCGCACGTTTCCCACGGCTCTTCGTCTTCTACAGATCAGCTGCCCCGGCTCTTGGGCAGTGATCGCAGTGATCCGAAGGGCATCGGGCTCAACGGGAGGGGCCCCCAAAAGAGGGCCCCCTGAGTCGTGGAGATGGAGGAACTGACCGATTCAACAGAACAACAGCCTCCGAGTCAAGGCACCACTCTTTCTCTGTCTCTCTGTCTCTCTGCCTCTCTGCCTCTCTGCCTCTCTGTTCTCTCTTCTATGCGCCACATAGCTCATCACTGCTGCCTGCTCGCTGCTGTCTTTGCCATGGGGGTTTTCGTTCTCGTCTTTGGCTCAAGCCTGAAGACCTTGCAGTGCGGTTACGACGGTTACGCGCAGCTTCCGTGCCCGGCCTCCTCGGCCCAGCCTCCTCGCTGTCGCGAAATGCTCCACGTGCTGTGGTGGTACCTGCTCTTGGTGCGACTTCAGCTCGCAGTGAGCGAGTCTTGCGACAGTAGCGATGGCGGCAGCGAGAGCAGTTTCGTGGCTTTGCCTCCCCGAACTCGCCGATGCCTTGCGGCTAACTTCAAATTCCCTGACCTCAAGCGGCTCGCAGAGTCAGGAGACGGGAGACAAAGCCTTCCTCCTTTTTGTTTTTTGAAAGTCGTCATTCTCCCTGATGATTCCCCTCTATGAGGTCAAGTGATTACGTTTTTTTTTGGTCTGAGGTTTTGGTTATTTAGTTATGTGTCTAAAACTTCTTCAGGACACTTTCGTGAGGTGTGGGGGTCATCTGAAGAGATGGAGCAGTGGTTTCGTGAGCACTTTGCCTGCAGGCGTTCTGGTCTGCTTCAAGAGTCAATGCAATTTGATGTGGCCAACTTTGCCAACGTCGCCAAAGCCATGACGAAGCTTGGCTGGCCCCGAATGTGACTTACATGGGTTGGGCTTTGCACAAGATGCACAAGTACACCCCAAGCAAAGACGAAAGGGTACCTGCATCTTCGACTGTCGCTTTTCACATTTTCTGTTTCCCAATCCTGACTCTCTTTGGGAGATGCGAAAGTGGAGATGATGAAGAAGTACTGTGCAAACGTAAGAAATTCAGTTCATGCGCTCAAGCTTGAGCGCCTGCCGTGAACAATGCAACGCAGCACGTCCCAAGCGTGGTGCCTGCCACACGAACGCGAGCACCATGATCCGATATGATCCCGGGCATGCCTGCACCCGCTGCGCTCGCAGCCCTTCTTGCAGCCCCTCCCGATTTGAGTAGTCCGATTATACACTATATAGCCCTGGCATGTGCTAGATACATGATGCTTTAGATCAGCCTGTACTGTATCATATCCTGTTATAGAAGCCATGTAACTCAAGGCAATTGGTGCGCTTTCGTCAAGCCTCAGAGCTCTGCTTGGCTCCTCTGCTCTTCCTTCTTCTACTCCCCTCGTCACTTTAGTCCTCCGTTCTCTTTTTCTTTTCTCTTTTTAACACGCTTCCGTGCTGTAGCTTGCGCGTTGTTTGCGGCTTCTGGACTCCACTCTTCAGGACTGTCGATTGGAAAGCTATCGAGTGGGGCAAAGACATCCCAATCCCAATGACGAAGAAGGAGCACAACTTCGGCTATGGGAAATTGTTGGTGAATGGCCTCTATACGATGTTGGCCTTTGCTCAGTCGGATTCCACGGATTGGAGAGCCTACGTGCAGGGTTTGGGTTCACTGCTTGGCGAAGTGGCATTGGAGCTGGTGCCCGGCGTTGGGCCCATACTAAGCGCCGCCCTCACCTTCGCATTGGCCTTCTTCCAACCCGAGGACGAGAGCAACGGCAATCATTCGGCTGTCAGGATACGACAAGAAGAGATATGAGCTACCCCTTAAGCCCATAAACCGAGGATTGCACAGCAAGAGTGACTCTTTGTGAAATGAAGACGGCCCCCCTTTTCATGCGCGCCACGGCGTTTTGAGCAGAGACAAGCCCAAAGCCCGAGACGTAAGCCCGAGAGATTGTGCCTTACCCTATCGGCGTTTAAGCCTATAATAGGCAGGTCGGAAGCAACTCGGCACGAAGGCATGACAGCGTATGCATAGAATTATGAAATGCCTACAGCCAATCTAAACCAACATCCGATGGACGCTTGAAGCCAAATAGGAACAAGACGATGCTTCGGGAAGTGCTTGAGTTGCCTGAAGCTGTTTGAACTTGTTGTCCGGATGCCGACGGCAGGATGACGCGATGGCCGACCTCTACAACAAGATCATGGCTGAGGTAAAGTTGCTCATCAGGGCGCAGGAAGTGAAAGACGCAATGAGTGCAGCCAAAGGCCAGCTGGCCGGTTTCATGCAGATGCTGTCTGCCATGCCAACGGATTTCGTGGTAGATCCTAGCAGCCCTTTGTCTAAAGAGCAGCAGTGGTACAACGTCCTGCAGCGCTATATCTCCGTGATGGATGCTTCGGAATTCAACATCTTTGGCAACGAGGCCAACTGCACGATGCCTATGTCGGTGCCCATGCAGCCGTGGTCAGTGAAGGATGCCAGCGACGATTGCCTGGAATTCTGGGCCTCTGGTGCTTTCATTTTCCAGTTTCAGTACGTCATGATCCACCTCAACACCATGGCTCAGATGGCGGCTTTTGGGTCGAAGGACCAGACCATGACCGTGCTATCAGCTTTGCAAGGCAAAGCCAAGACCTACTTCTCTTTGCTGAATGCTTCGCTGCTAGGCCTGGTGAAGGGTCTTCCGCCGGATCCAGAATGCAAGTGGATCGTTCCTCAGCCCAGCCTTCATATCCAAGGAATGTTCGTTTCCAGGGCCAATGGCGGCCACATGCAAGACGCGCTGTGGAATGGTCATAGCTTGCGATGCGTTCTTGGATGTATAGATGCCGTACAGGATGACTTTGATTTGAAGTGGGCACCGGGGACCAATGTGAACCAAGTTGGGAATCTTGGTGACTACCGCAGCTTGCCATGCAGCAGGCCGCCCATATTCATCACAGGCTCGGACGTGAAGCCAGGGACCCTCGATGAGAAAGCAACGTTTCGGCTGTGCAGCTCATTTGGCTTCCACTACCTGTCGGACTTAGTGACCAACGAGACCATGCTGACCTTCGAGCCCATGGTGCAAGCTCTGCTCAACCTATCCCTTGGAGAAGACGACTCGAAAGAGATCATGGATTGGCTCACGGCTTCGCCTCCGGGTCCCAACGGCTCAGAGGCTGTGAACAGCACGGTCATTGGCGAGTTTTGTGGCCCAGTCTGCACATATCTTAGCTACAACGCTTGCAACAGCGAGGACAATTGCCAAAGGGCCAGTTCCGTGCAGGACCTCATCAAGTGCACGGAGGTGTGTAGTGAAGCCCTGGAGGCTTTCGCCAACTCCAGCAAGACCAGGTGCAACTGCAAGAGCATCGTGTGCCCAGCCTTCAAGCGCGGCATCCTCAACAAGCTCAATAACTTGCCTTATGAGTCCTGGTACCACGACTCTGATACCTTGAACCCGGACTCCTCGAAAGAGGTGGGGCCAGTGGTGTTTGCTGCTTGGCAGGCCTCGCTATTGAAGACCGGGGGTCACCAGGGACAGTGTGAAATTGAGTGCAACCGCCTCTTCCCGATCACAACCCTGGATGTGCCAAACCCCTGGTACTAAACGGGGTTTTCGAAGTTCGGGGTACCTTGTTGGGGTCCTTATTATAAGGGAATCCTACGATTTGGGGGTCTATGTATATCAGGGGTCCCTGATTTTCGTATACCCCGAAATTAGGGGACGACTGACACACAAGTTGTCGCAGAGCCGATGTCAGATGAAAATAATGGGTCAACAGTCTCGCAACTCACCCTTTGCATCTCTGAGATTTCTCCATCCTAAGACAGGATGAGCCGGGGCTTTCTGCCTGCAATTTCGTGTGCAGGTGCAGAACCTGCCTTCGGATGCTCTGAGAGTTGCCAGCTGATGGACATGATCAGGTCCAATACGTCCGCATGCTTGTGGGGCCGAGGGGCAGGAAAGCTTGAGGAAGCTTGATGCAGTCTGCAGTTGCAACTTCGGCGAAAAGACCTGCAAACTAGTAACTAGTGCTGATTCCAAGCTACCTCGATAGCCATGTGGGCAGGCCGGCGACGCGACGTCCCAGATGCCTGACCTACATTCTGAACGGTAGGTACCGGTAGTTGCAAGTGCAGAGCACTTGGGCATTCAAACGGTTTGCTTTGAGAGCTTTCCGTTTCCTCGGGATCACCGACGTGACGCGTGAGCGGTCAAATGGGGGACCAGCGATTGCAGAGTAACTTGAGAAGGAAGTCCTCATTCTCACGACTTCACCAACAATTTTACGAATCTCGCGCCCTTGAAGGGACGAACAAAAGCATCAGAAAACCCGGGATGATTATTGGATGCATGATGCAAGTTTTCTGCTTGATCTGAACCGTAAAGGATGCTTCAAAAAAATTGCCGTCGCTTGCGGTCATTTCGTTCGCGCGCTGCCAAGCTTTTCGGTTCTCCTTTTTGTTCGCAAGGCTAGGGGTTCTGAAATTCCGGAGACTTGAGGGAGTCTTTCGGAAAAGCTGCAGGACCCAAAACGGTCGCCACCTTGTCCCCGCACTGCCCCCCGACCCCCCCGCGCCACGTCACTGCTTCCGACGTCGTTGCAGTAGCCTCTGCGAGAGGTTGGCTGTACAACTTCCCACACAGCACACAACACACAACACGCAACACACGACACACGACACACGAACACACAACACACAACACACAACGCACCACACACAACACACAACACACAACACACAATGCACAACGCACAACGCACAACGCACAACGCTCAACGCACAACGCACAACGCACAACGCACAACGCACAACGCACATCGCACATCGCACATCGCACATCGCACATCGCACATCGCACATCGCACACGCCCGCACAGGGCCGCCCTCCTACACAAGCATGCATCAACGCAGTACTAAGACTTAAGGCGTTCGACGAACTACGTCCGGGCATGCCATCCTATTTCCTGATGCAAACAAGGTGCTGATGAATGTAGTGCGAAAAGACGAGGCGCGCTGCGCGCTTGGGAGTGTACTCCAGTCTTGAAACACTTTGGAAAGGAAACAGCTTGGGGAAGATGCAGGACCCATGCATCTTGCCAGCCACCCTATAATGTGTTCGAACAAGCAGCTCTGAGGCTCAATCTCACCAGCATACACGCTCCCCGCACGACATCTCTGCCTTGCAAACATGCCAGGCTGCTCAGGGGCTGAAGGTTCTGGGCAGGCGCTGCTCCAAGTGCCAGATGGCCCCCCGGAGTTGCCCTTCATCGGAAACGTCCTTAGGCTCAATGCGGGCATCCATGTGGCTTCACAGCAGCTGATCTCGGAGTATGGTTCGATCTTCACTGTTCGCTTTCCTTCAGGCATGGTGACCAGTGGCACAGGGGCCCTAGGCAGCGGACAGCGAACCGTGATTCTTGCCGACCCAGAGCTGATTGGTGACATGTTCTCGAAAGAGGAGGACTTTGGAAAACTAACCTTCAAGCACTGCCCCGAGATCCGCGGTCCCTTTGGGGCGAGCCTCTTCACCACGGACGATGATGAACCCATCTACCATCAAGCAGCCAGAGTTATCCGCCCCGCTTTTGCCGAGCGCTGCTTGAGGGATGGCTTCTTTGACAAGATCGTGCAATGCTCAGAGCAGCTACGCTCTGAGCTGCTCAGGACTGGTGGAGCCCTTCCGCTCGATTTCCACGCGCTCATGAGTCAGTATGCCTTGGAAGTGCTTGGGCATGCGGCCTTTGGCCTGGAGCTTGGTTGCTTTGATGGCGGCATTGGACAGGATTTCTTGGAGGCGCTCCATGGGATCGCAGAGATCTCCGTCCGCCAAGCTGGACAGTCCAGCTTTAACTCGGTCCAGAGGGCCTTGGCCCGGATCACGGGTGACAGCAGGGCCATTCCTGTGCTCAAGGCGCGCATGGACCGAGTTGTGGCAGAAATCGTGAGGCGAAAGACGGGGCAGATGGCCTCTCGCGAAGCAGGAGCCGGCGATGCAGGCCTTGGCAGCTGCCCTTTTTCAAAGAAGGCGGGTTCCATGGCTGCGTGCCCCATGAAGGATGTCATGGAGCGCATGATGACGGAAGCCGATCCCAAGACTGGGGAGCAGCTGCCTGAAGACAACGTGGAGGCCCAGCTCCTCACACTGCTGGTAGCTGGTCACGAGAGCACGTCTACTGCCATGACGATGCTCTTCTATCACGTCGCCATGAATCCACATGTGGAGCAGAGGCTCTTGCAGGAGATACGCTCGGTTGTGGGTGATGGGCCTCTCAAGTATGAGCATCTGGCCCAGCTGAAGTATGTCTACCAAGTCGTGAAGGAGAACTTGCGCATCAACACGCCATCCTCACGGTTCATGAAGACCAGCCCGCCGGATCGCTCGGTGAGCCTTGGCCCATACGTCATCCCTCCGGGCACAGACATCGTGGTGCCTACCTGGGGTCTGCACCACAATGCGAAGGTGTGGCCTGAGCCCGAGAAGTTCGATCCTGACCGCTTCTCGGAGGAGAACTCCGCGAGCCGCTCCCCGTATTCTTTCCTGCCCTTCAGCTACGGGAAGCGCGGTTGCATGGGCGCCCAGTTCTCACTGCTGCAGCAGCGGGTCACCCTCATCGAGACAATCAGGAACTTCCACCTGCGTGTGGACCCATCGACCCACGTCACCTGGTGTGAGCCTCTGAAGGGCGAGATGATCCCGCACGGCATCAAGCTTCAGGTGACCGGCCGTCTTGGGCATGATGGCCAGGGTGCTAGCGCCGGCGTCAGCGCAGGTGCCAGCGGTGCTAAAGAAGGCACCTTAAGTGGAAATTCGGCTGGAGCTTCCGATGCCGGAAAGCTCCTGATGCCAACATGGGATTCTGCGTGCGAAGGCCTGCTGCGTGGCAGGGACCTGCTCATCCTTCACGGCTCCAACATGGGCACCTGCGAAGACTTCGCGGATCGCTTGCTCGCCACCTGTGAGGGTCTCGGTATGAGATGCCGGAGAGCTGCGTTGGACGACGTGGTCGGTGCTGACTTCTCTCGAGTCGGAGCTCGTGTTGAGCTTCCTAAGGAGGGCATGGTGGCCGTGATCTCAAGCACCTACAATGGGAAAGCTCCTGACAATGCTGTCCGCTTTGAGCAATGGCTTCAGACAGCAGACGCCGCTGCTGCGATCCCTGGTCTACACGTCGCCTGCTTCGGATGTGGGAACAAGCAGTGGGCTGGCACCTACATGGCGCTTCTCTTCGTCCTGTGGTTGGGTAACATTTTTCATTTCCAAGGGTTTGTTAAGCCTAATTCAAGAATGGACATTTTAATTTCTAATACGATCCCAGCCATGAGCTAGGTTTCCTCGGCGCATTGAGTCGAATCTCTTGAAGCTGGGCGCAAAGATGCTGACAGAAATGGGCGAAGGAGATGCGGACTCGGGCCAGGCAGAATCGGCGTTTGTTTCCTGGAAGCTTGCCCGGGCCTTATTCAAAAACTTGGTCAGCTCATCGTCATACTCTTCTGGTTTTCTTGGTCTTTGGCTCGTTTTGTACGGGTTTTGTCTCGGGGGGGGGGGAAATGCGGCCAAAGTTTTGTTTTTTGTAGTTTTGCTCCCGCGCACGCGCGCGCGCGCGCGCGCGCATCTGAGATGTTGAGCGCTTCAATGTCGCTGTCTACGGCGCGCACGCTCGTGGTGAGCATTCGTGGCAAACATGGCAACAGTATCGAGCTCTGGGCCGAGCCTAGGTGACGCGCCCCTTGCCGAAAGAACATAGGAGGTGATGTTGGCGATAGAGCGCTCTTGAAAGCAGGAGGGCCGCAGGAAGGCCCAATTTTCGCAATGTCAGCTCCACATTCAGCTACAACAACTTCGACCTGATCACGGATCACGGAAATGCAAACACAAGTAAAGCTTTTGAAGCCCATGTGTAGTATATGGCCGTGTCCGAGTAGTATATGGCCCTGCTGCAGGGCATTTGGCCGCCAAGGGGCCTTCGCTCCACTATACATGAGACGACCAAGCTAAAGGATAAGGGTTGATTCCCACCCTCCGGAGCCTGACAAAGGTGTCGGCACTCCGGGCATACTCTGCAGGATTCTCAACTCTCGATCGCCTGCTGCTGAACAGATCACATGGGGGATTCTCTCAATCAGGGTCCTTTTCTGGGTTACCACTACAAGGCAGCCCTTCAACATTTTGGTACCCAACAAAGGGACCCTTCATAATTTTGAGAACTCACAACGCCTGCGTCACATATGCCCTTTGAGAAGCCCAGGCGCTGGCTGCCTCCATCTGCAAAGCCCAGGGCATCCGGATCCCGCTGGCCATCCGGGAATCTCTGAACCCAAGCGCTCCGAGCTTCGAGGTCGTGCTGCACCTGGGCAAGGTGACCTGGCCCAGTTGTTTCAGTGCACGTGGAGCAGGAAGGCGCTTTTTCAGAGAAGTTTGTTCTGAGTCTTGAGACCCCCCCGCCCCCCAAATGCAGTTCTAGCCGCGTGTTCAGCTCAGGAAGCGAGAGACATCGAGGGCGTGGACGCAACGCAGATCTTGGAAGACGCGCTGGCGCGGGCCAAGGGCAGCTTCTTGAAGAACTGCCGGGCGTGGGTCACGCAGGTGAGCCTGAACAGAGAGCTCCTCACGGACGAGGCGGTAGCTCAGGGGCGTTCCACCCGCCATATCGAGGTGGACTTGCCCGAAGGTCATGGCTACAGAGCCGGTGACCATCTCGGGGTATGGGGTGCCAATCCGGATGAGGTGGTAGCAGCTCACATGGACTACTTCCGTTTGCCTCATGATTCCGTTGTCTCTCTGTCTCTGCTCCGGCAGTCTGATGCATCATGCCTGGTGCCACTGCAGCGCAAGACGGACGTCTGGAGCACGCTTGCTTACTGCTTCGATCTGCAGCAGCCCGCAAGCATGGCGCAGATCGAAGTTCTCGCTCCTCTGGCTGTTTGCCCGGCAGAGAGAGCTGACTTGGAGCAACTTTCCAGCGATGCTGGATGTCATGCGGCAAAGGTCCTGGCAGGCAAGCGCACGCTGTTGGAGATTCTCACAGCTTACGGCTCCGTGAAGCTTCCGTTCGGGAAGTTCCTGGGAATGCTGCCCGCGATGAAGCCCAGGTTCTACTCCATTTCATCGTCTCCGATCAAGTGTCCGAACAGCTTAAGCATCACGGTGAGTGTAGTGACAGGCACTACGCCATCCGGCAGGAAGCACATTGGAGTCTGCTCGAACCACCTCAAAGAGCAGCCCCGATTGCGCCCGGCAAGTGTAGGCTTGCCAGCTGATGCTGAGCATTACATGCCACTGATCCTGTTCGTGAAAGATTCTGGCGAACTCTTCAGGTTGCCAGAGCCCAACGTGCCAGTCATCCTGGTGGGGCCCGGCACAGGCGTCGCTCCCATGCGCGGCTTCCTACAAGAGCGTGCTGCGCAGGGGGCCAGAGAAAACATCTTGTTCTTTGGCTGCCGTGACCGGCACGAGTTCCTTTACCAGAGTGAATTGGAGGAGTTGCAAGCTTCCGGATACCTGAAGCTGTTTGTTGCGCTTTCCAGGGAGCCTTCGGTACCCAAGACGTACGTTCAGAACCTCATCGAGCAAGAAAGCGATCTGGTAGTTGATTTCTTGCAGCGAGGCGCACGCATCTACGTGTGTGGGGACGCCTCCAGGATGGCGCCAGAGGTTCGCGCCACATTCCAGCGTGTTGCAGAGAAGATCGGATTGGGCGACTCCTTTGTGGCATCGATGGTGAAGCAAGGCCGCTACTGCGAAGACGTCTGGGCCTGACAGCTTTCGAACAAGGAAGCGCAAGACTTCAAACGTCAACACATACGGGCTGTCCGTGTTGGCAGCTCTTGCTTGTACAGAGGTCCTCAAACTGCACGGACTTCTTGCATACCTGGGCCTGATTTTAATTGATTGGAGATGACCGATTCAGCATCTCACTTCTGCTTGTAAAGAGCCGCAACTAAGGGCATGATATGGATGCATTTTGAAGAGTGGGATGTTTACCTTGTACAGGCACCGATCAACCCTTCCATGGCATGATTTCAGAGCTACTGTACAGCTTGCTTCGAGTTCGAGTTTCTGACGTTGACTATTTTATATTGCATACTTTTGCATTCGAGGTCGCGGCCGGGTTTCTCCAGAAATCAGAAGTGATCGCTGCCGTCATGTTGCAAGAGAACGATCGGCTGGAAATCTTTACAGGTATTTTCAGCGCGCTGCCTGCAACCCTGCAACCAATCACCTAACCCCCGTCATCGTAAGCTGTCGTGCTCAAGCCACCACTGACTTGCCACCTTTTTGCAAGAGCAATGCTGAGTTGCACAGCCTCTAGCCTCTCAGGCGACAGGACAGAGGCGCAACTTCGGAAGAAGGCCGTCATCCTCGATACTGACATAGGAGACACCATTGACGATGCCTGGGCTCTCGCCTTACTGCTCCGTGCCCCGGACGTAGATCTCAAACTGGTGCTGATGAGCTTCGGCGGTGAAGAGGAGTTGATCAACCGCGCACGTGTGGCTCGTCATCTCCTAGACACAGCTGGTGCTCATCACGTGCCCGTCGGAATCGGAGTTCGCGGCGCCAAGGGCCTGGAGAAGTGCCCAAATTTGGGTAGCTACTGGATGCCTGGCAGTGACCCGTCCACACACTTCTTGGAGGACGGCGTTGGTGCCATGCTGGATGTCGTGAAGTTCCATGCTGCTCACTCAGCAATCTCACCCGTGACCATCATCTGCATAGGTCCGGCCACCAACATTGCTGCAGCTGTGCGGCGAGGCGGTGCTGCTTTTGCCCAAGGTGCCAAGCTGATAGGGCAGTTCGGGAAGTTGAAGGCTTGTTCTGAGTTGAAGGCAGGCAGCATGAGCGGATCCAGTCTAAGACCTCCAGCTGATGACAAGCTGGCCGTGACCTTCGATGATGAGGCCGACGTAAACTCTGCCTACGACCCCGGTTCCCTGCAGGAAGTTCTGCGTGCACCTTTTCTCAGCATCACCTGCTGCACGTTGGAGCTGGTCGGCTCTGCCAGCGAGAACTTCTCCAAGGCAAGGTACCAGGCCCTCTGCAGAGCCCAAGAGCCTTTGGTCAAGGCAGTGCTGGCTTTGGATTCGAAGTACGACACCTACATGCGCTGCTTGGGTGCAAGACAGCAAGAGACATGGTATTCAGATCTGAGGCCCATGCAAGACCTGCCAAGCATGTTTTGGGATGCAGCCGTCGTGTTTGCAGCGATGAGATCCTGCGGCACTTTGTCGTTTCCGTGGAGCCAAGCGTTTGCGCAGGAGTCGCACACATCACACAACAGGCCTGTAGAAATAGCTTGGGGCTGGTCTGCGGACGTGGAGGAAGACTTCAGCAACCTTCTGGTCAAGCGACTCTTGGGCGCTTCTGAATCCCGCGAGGAAATCCTGCTATTGGCTCCCGGATCTCACTGCGATGAGCAAAGAGATCGGCTGGAAGCAAGCACATTACCTGTGAGTCCTTCCTCAGCAGCACATGAGCATGCAGGCACAACGGAGCTGAAGCAGGGCAACTTCGTTTTGGGCTTGCTCTACTTCAACGTCTTCTTGGACATGCTTGGTTTTGGGCTGATCCTTCCATTGATGCCGTACTTGGGGACCAAGTTCCACGCAGATTCTGTTGGGCTTGGGCTCCTGACTTCGATGTTCTCGATCGCGAAGTTCTTCGGGTCCATTGCTTTCGGGATGGCTGCGGACCGCATCGGCAAGAAGACGACCATCGGCGTGTGCGCCCTGGGGTGCATGGTCAGCTATCTAGCCATGGGCTTCGCAGACGACTTCAAGGTTCTGGTCCTCACTCGGGGGCTTGCAGGCTTCTTTTCCAACACTGTGGTTGTGGCGCAGAGTATCGTGCCAGGCGCTGTGCCAGCGGACCAGATGCCCAAACATCAAGGTTGCTTAGAGACTGGGCGGGTAACCTTTCACCTTTTTCGGCTATATAGAACCCTATCTTACTATAATCTATGATACATGTATATATTATATACAATATATATATATATATATACATAACTATATACTTTTTTTAAATAAGGTTAGCCTGTCTTGGGGGCTAGGGTATCAAAAGCCCCCCCTAAAAGGCTACATCGGAGCTGCCATTGGAGCAGGCATCGCCTTCGGGCCCAGCATCGGCGGAGGCCTGGCGCGCTTCGGGATCCGGAGCCTTTTTTCACCCTATTGGGAATTTTTTTTACAAACTTCTGTTTATAGAAAACCCAAGAGGATATGAAGAATATGGTTTGTATTTATTTAAGGGAGTCTAGGAGCCCCATCTTCCTGACGGCGGCGCTGTGCGCCGCGAACTTCGCCCTGGTCCTGGGCTTCATGCCCAGGTTTGGGCCCGCAAGATCCGCGGCTTCGGGGAGTTTGGCTCCTAGGGAGGCACCTGCAGGGAAGGCTAGGAGGTGCCAGGGAGCCTTGCAGATCACCTTGGTATTGATGTCTACCTTGGCCTTCTGGCTGGGCTACGCGTCCTTCGAGGCGCTGGGGGGCCTCTACTTCGCCGACAGCTTAAACATGGGCCCCGGGGAGTTTGGCTTCGTCTGCACCCTGACCGGCGTGGTGCAGCTCGTGCTTCTCGCTGGCATGGTGACTCTATCCCCCTTTTGGGAATTACTTTTTCTAGATTTTTGTTTATAATGCAACCCAAGAGAGGATATTAAAAAAGTACTATTTTTTATATTTTTTATTCAGGTTCAAGTTGAGGGGAGTATTCAGGTGAAGCCCCTGGTGCGGTGCACCGGGGAGATAGGTGCGGGAGCACTTTCTTTCACACTCAGCGCGCTCGGGTGGCTCCTCTTCATGGTCCAGTTGCGGTGGCTTCCATACGTGGCAGCTGTTCTGGTCGGTGCAGGATTCATGGTGCAGGCGGTGCAAGCCAACCTTCTCTCCTCAATGAGTTCCCCCGCGTTTGTGGGCACGCTGCTCGGAGTGAATCAGGCCATGGCTTCCCTTGGCCGTATAGTGGGGCCTCTCATGGCAGGAGTGATCTATCCATACCTTCCGCGGGGGATCTGGATCGCCTCTGCTAGTTGGGCTCTCCTTGGCATCATGTCCTTTCTGGTGCTCCTTGCAATGGTGCACCTCACTTCGACTCACGATCGGCTCACCTGCCCCAAGCATCTTGGGGCAGAGGCTGGGGCAGGTAAAGACGACTTGGAGCGCGCATGTTGAGATGACTGGCAATTCTCACTTCTCCTAAAACTGCAAGGGCTCTCAGAGTCGTTGCAAAGCCTCCGCTCTGTGTGGACATCTGGGCCTATGCCTCGCGAATTGGAATGACTCTCGTTTTTTTGCTTGTAAAGAGCCACCCGGGCCCATTGAACTTGATCGGACCGATGCTCTAGGAAAGTAGGGTAAGTATCTTTGTACAGGCACGGCACCGATCCACCAATGGCTCAACGCTGCATGTTCTCGAGCTACTGTACAGCTTGCTCCGAGTCTGATGCGAAGCTGTGGCATTGCATACTTCGTATTCCAGATTGCCACCCCCATGCTATCCAAGAGCACGGATATCGCGGCGGCGTAAGTCGAAAAGAAAAGCTCTCAGGCTTTGCTTGGCCGGGCAAGTCCGCGACGAATGTCGAGCCAAGCACCGGTAAGACTGGCCAAGTACGCAAGCGCATTTTCTCATAACGGCAAGCGCAACTTTGATTGCCGTGCTGGCAGCAAGTTCATCATACTCTGTGTCAGTGGTTTGTTGTCGGTCCCGAGCTGACTTTCCTGCCGCTTGCACAATCGCTGAGATCAGTGCATCATTGGTGTGCGGACATGTGTGCTACCTATGGTAGTTTTTGCACATGAGCATGTTCTATTGGATGCTGATCATCATCGTGCTTGGTAACTTTGGGCTCAAGTGCAAGTAAGAAAGCAAGAGCGAGCACAAGAGATTCGCGAGACCGGCACACTTTTGGCGCCAAGATGACTCTCGACTCCAGCTCCCCGGCAAGATCTCACTTGGTGGCTGCTTGTTTGCCCGTGGGCGGAGCAGTGGTCGTCCTAGGCGGCCTGGCGATCTGGAAGCGCAAGCAAGCATCCAAAGCTCAGGAGTCTGAGTCAGCAGAGTCGTTGCCTTTGCCTCCTCTTGTGTCAGGGGGCAGCTGGCTCTTTGGCCACTTGACAGAACTGGCGGGTGAGCAGCGCTATGACACCATCAAGGCTTGGGCTGAGAAGCACGGCTCGACCTTCCGCATTCGCTTGCCCTTGTGGCACAGAAGTGGCTTCCTGGGTATGCAACGTGCGCACGGAGTAGTGGTCATGTCCAAGGAGGATCAGCTCAAGGGCCTGGGCGGCCACGAGAGCCCTTTCGAGGAGCGCACTTCCACGGATGTCATCTTCGGGAACTTGATCTTCAGCGGCTTGACCATGGGCTGGCACAAGGGTGGGCACGACCATGCCCAGAGGAAGAAAGAGCTGCTGAAGGCCATGGCTCCGAAAGTGTTGAGGCAGCGGCTGCCGGAGCTCTTTGCTTGTGCCCAGGAGTTTTGCGACCGTGCGCAGCAGCAGGCAAGTGCCAGCGGCGGCAGCGTGGAGGTGCATGCGAATGAGGAGATGGTGCGCATCATCTGCGACATGTTTGCCAGCGCCCAGATGACGGGCTACCGCATGGGCTCCGTGTCGCGCGACGGGCCAGGCGACGCCTTCTTGAATGACATGGATGAGACCCTGAACTACTCTCTCAGCGCCACGGGATGGATGGGGTATCACCCCCTGAGCCGACTGTTCATCGGCCTCTCGGGCCTCCTTTCTCCCGCTGGCCGCCAAGCACGGGCGGCTCGAAACCGATTCTTCGAGACCGCTGCCACAATCCTGGCAGCACACGAGCAGAAGGAGGCAGATGGCCGCTACGATGAGAGGCGAGACGGCGTGAACATCGCGGGGGTGGTTGCAAAGCTTTACAAGCAGGGCAAGGTGTCACGCAGGGATTCTGTGTCCGACCTGGTGAACTACATCTTCAGCTCCCATGACACGGGTTTCGGCATGGCTTTCTGCGTCCACGCTCTGTCTTCCAGGCCCGAGCTGCAGCAGGCGTTGCGCGAGGAATTGGAGGTGGCCCTTGCAAGCTGCGGCGGCAGCGCCGTGGACCTTGCAGCAGCTGACGCGGCGCTGTTCGTGTCGGCAGACGAGCGCCTGCCGCTTTTCAATGCCGTGCTCAAGGAGTCACTTCGTCTATGGCCGGCTCCACTGTGGCCTGGTACCTGCCCTTTGCTACCAACAGGTGGCTTGACCTGGCGGGAGTGCAGGAGGAGCAGCAGTCTCGGGGGCTTCCGGGTGCCCAAGGATTGGATGGTTTGTGTGCCCTTCTACCAGGCGCAGCGGGATTTGAGTACTTGGGGCAGCGATGCGGAGGAGTTTCGGCCAGAGCGATGGCTGCAAGCGGGAGCAAACGTGCCAGTGGGTGCCTACACACCTTTCTCCAGTGGACTTCGCGCATGCCCTGGCATGAACCTTGGAAACACTGTCCTGAGAGTAACTCTTGCCACTTTGCTCTTGCGGCATGACATTCTGCCCGTGCGAAATCCTAGGGACACCAGCATCTTGGCACTTTACCACGGCGGATTGCAGTGCGCCCTGCGGCCACAGGTGCGGGAAGAGCTGCCTTGCCTCATCAAATCGAAAGGCATGCAGCGTGAGCTCAAGGCTGCGCCAAAGCCACCATCAGCTGTCGGCAACGGCCACAGCAAAGAATTGCACGACAAGCCCCTGCTGGTGCTGTACGGCTCCAACATGGGAACCTGTGAGGAGCTGGCAGACCGTTGGGTGAGTCTTGGTGAGATGCTAGGCATGCCTTGCAGCAAGGCGTCCTTGGCTGAGGCCATCAGCAGCGACGGCCCCGTGGATCTTCGTTCTGCTGGCACAGATTGTATTGTTGCGATCATCACCAGCACGTACAATGGCCAAGCCCCAGACAACGCGGTGGACTTCGAAAGATGGCTCGAGTCCGATGGGGCAAGCGCTACCGTTCGAAACCTTCGGTTCGCTTGCTTTGGCGTCGGCAACCGGCAGTGGACCAACACCTTCTTGTCCTTCCCCAGACGTTTGCAAACTCGCTTGGAAGAGCTCGGTGCTGTGGCGCTGGTGCCCATGGGCGAGGGCGATGCGAATTCAGGGCAAGTGTCGTCAGCCTTCGATGCTTGGAATCGCTCTCTGTTTTCAGAAATCTTCAAGACTTTCAAGCTGCCAGTCCCTGCGGGCATCCAAGATTCTCTCAATCCAAGCTTCGAGGTCGCGCTGCATGTGGGCATGGAAGCCAGAGAGATCCAGGGTGGGGATGCAACGTTGATCTTGGAAGACGCGCTGGCGCGGGCCAAGGGCAGCTTCTTGAAGAACTGCCGGTCTTGGGTCACGCAGGTGAGCCTGAACAGAGAGCTCCTCACGGACGAGGCAGTAGCTCAGGGGCGTTCCACCCGCCATATCGAGGTGGACTTGCCCGAAGGTCACGGCTACAGAGCCGGTGACCATCTCGGGGTATGGGGTGCCAATCCGGATGAGGTGGTAGCAGCTCACATGGACTACTTCCGTTTGCCTCATGATTCCGTTGTCTCTCTGTCTCTGCTCCGGGAGTCTGATGCATCATGCCTGGTACCACTGCGTCGCAAGACTGACGTCTGGAGCACGCTTGCTTACTGCTTCGATCTGCAGCAGCCCGCAAGCATGGCGCAAATCGGAATTCTTGCTCCTCTGGCTGCTTGCCCCGCAGAGAGAGCTGACTTGGAGCAACTTTCCAGCGATGCTGGATGTCATGCGGCAAAAGTCCTGGCAGGCAAGCGGACGCTGTTGGAGATCCTCAAAGCTTACGGCTCCGTGAAGCTTCAGTTCGGGAAGTTCCTGGGAATGTTGCCCGCGATGAAGCCCAGGTTCTACTCCATTTCATCGTCCCCAATCAAGTGTCCGAACAGCTTAAGCATCACGGTGAGTGTAGTGACAGGCACTACGCCGTCAGGCAGGAAGCACATTGGAGTCTGCTCGAACCACCTCAAAGAGCAGCCTCGATTGCGCCCGGCAAGTGTAGGCTTGCCTGCTGATGCTGAGCATTACATGCCACTGATCCTGTTCGTGAAAGATTCTGGTGGTCTTTTCAGGTTGCCAGAGCCCAACGTTCCAGTCATCATGGTGGGGCCCGGCACAGGCGTCGCTCCCATGCGCGGCTTCCTACAAGAGCGTGCTGCGCAGGGGGCCAGAGAAAACATCTTGTTCTTTGGCTGCCGTGACCGACACGAGCTCCTTTACCAGAGTGAATTGGAAGAGTTGCAAGCTTCCGGATACCTGAAGCTGTTTGTTGCGCTTTCCAGGGAGCCTTCGGTACCCAAGGCGTACGTTCAGAACCTCATCGAGCAAGAAAGCGATCTGGTAGTTGATTTCTTGCAGCGAGGCGCACGCATCTACGTGTGTGGAGATGCCTCCAGGATGGCGCCAGAGGTTCGTGCCACATTCCAGCGCGTTGCAGAGAAGATCGGATTGGGCGACTCCTTTGTGGCATCGATGGTGAAGCAAGGCCGCTACTGCGAAGACGTTTGGGCCTGACAGCTTTCAAACAAGGAAGCGCAAGACGTCAAGCGTCAACACATACGGGCTGTCTGTGTTGGCAGCTCTTGCTTGTACAGAGGTCCTCAAATTGCACGGACTTCTTGCATACCTGGGCCTGATTTTAATTGATTGGAGATGACTGAATCAGCACCTCATTTCTGCTTGTAAAGAGCCGCAACTAAGGGCATGATATGGATGCATTTTGAAGAGTGGGATGTTTACCTTGTACAGGCACCGATCAGCCCTTCAATGGCATGTTTTCAGAGCTTTTGTACAGCTTGCCAGCTTGCTCGATGCGAGTCTGTGGCATACTGTTGTATTCCAGGTCATCCAGGAGTTCACAAGTGTGTTTCAAACGATTCACATCGAAAAGAGGCCGCTTCTGCCTGAACGACAGCTTGTGCAGCTATCCATTCGAAGAGCAGCTGCAGACTATAGCCCCCTTAGGAAGTACTATTCATCTGTCTAAAACCCAAAGGTATATTCAAAGTATTACGTCTATTCAGGTTCTAAGGGGAGTATAGTATAGATACTGATGCTAGAGTTTATAGTATCTGATGTCGCCACTATCCATCCTGGCAGGCTGTGCGTGTCCCGTGAGTCGCGCGCCGCCATTTTGGCTCATGTTGCGTTGTTGATGGGCAGGCGTTTTTCTCCGAAGAGTGGACGGCCAGGCAGGGAAGCCAACCATTAACCTCGGCCCTTGAACGACAACTCAAAGCGTGTTTGCGACAAGTCTTCGTTGCATGACCAGCCAGTTTACACGCAGTTTACACGGGTGGTGGCTCAGGGTATGGCGAAAGCACTGCCAGTCTAAATGGCCTCGCGGTCAGATTCCCCCATTTCCCCCCTCCCCCTGTGCTCAGTGGGACCCTGAACTCAGTCAAACCTGGGGGCTAGGGCTCCCTCGTCCCAGCATGTGAAAAATGGGCCTAAACCCCCCCCAACCTGGCTGTAAAACCTCCAGCCCAGCAGGACTGTGACAAGCACCACCGATTCGTAAACCAAGCTGCTTGATATTGCTTGATATTGCTTGATGTTTCTCAGAACATCCTGCAGGCTTCTCATGGGCACCCAGATGCCGAGCGAATCGCTTGGAAGCTCAAGGTGTCGCTGCATTCGGAAAAGGTCTTTTGTCAGCCAGGTAGAACGTGACCTGTTGCTTTCTGATGTCTGCGCCTTGTCCATTGCCACGAAATCACCCCAAGACTTCTTCATATCCGCAGCTGTCTCAAGCATCATACGGCCTTAGGCTGCAATAAAGGACACATCAAGCAGTTTTGGTCCCATGACGTGCAACGTGCCCTTCGTAGTGCTGGTGCTTGCCTGCGGGACGTTGGCGTGCGAAGGCGCTGGCTCCGGCCGGTGTTCAGTGGCCAATGAGACCACGGGGCTTCTCCAACTCCACGCTGCCGGGAGGCTCCCAAACGCCACTTCGTTCTTGCAAAGGGCGGGGCATTCGATGGCAACCGGTGCGGCTGGGACCTACACTGTGTTTGAGGATTTCGAGGACAACCTGTGGCTCATCCGCTTGGAGTTTCTGGGAACAGAAAGCGACGAGAAGGGGCGGGTTACAGACAGCAGCACCAGTGGCAGCGGTGGCGCTGAGGGCTCGGCAAAGTTCCTGACTGGAATGGTCTTTCCTTACAAGAGCTCGTTGTGGTTCTCTTATTTCAAACCCTCAATGTCGCCAGTCACCAGCCAAGTGGGCACGACTCTCCAGACTTGGGTGCGCTTCCCGGGGCCCTCTACAGCAGACAACTACAAGATTGGCCACACCATGATCGGCTTCGACTCTTCCGCTGCCGGGAGCAAGCTGCTTTTCCTGGATTCCTCCGGAGCGGACTTGCTGCATCTTGGACTGGGAATATTGCAGAATCGTATTTGCAAAATTGCAATTGTAATGTGAGGAATGATTCGTGTATTGGGGCATTGTTTTGGCTTTCTAGTGCGCAGTACTGTACTGTACTGTACTGTACTGCATTGTATTGGCATTGTAGTGTTTGGTCTGGTTTTTCTTGACGCTGTACTGCATGGTTCTGGTAATGGAATGTGGGCGCAATTTCGGAGGTAGGTCTCCCACAAAACTTTTGATGGCTTTTGATGGCTTTTGCACATATGTGCAGATGTATTTGTAAGCCTCGACTCGAGGTACTACTTCATGTTCCTCCCTGGCTGGTCATTGCCAGGAAGGATAACCCCTCCAACGTCGGCACGGAAGACAACATCGCTGGCGCCACTGCTCAACCAGTGGTTGAGAGTGCTGATCAGTGTAGAATCCGCCAGTATCGCCACGGCGAGGGTGTACAGTGAGGGCGGATCTCTGCTTCTCTACACGTCGCAAGACTTCTCAGCCTTGGGTACGCAGATTTCATCGTCCGGCACTGCAGGCCTGCGGGTCTACTATGTTCGCGATGTCGACCAGCTGGCGACCTGTAGCAATGGGGTAGCCGGGGTATCATCCCAGACAATCGCGACAGATCAAGGGCAGTGCACATCAAACTTTCAAGCTCCTGCGAGCTGCATCCCAGGCATGACCTACACCTGCGACGTCCCATCAGCCCTCCCGTTGGGGACACACAACCTGGTGTGCACAGGCTCCGACACTGCAAGCAGTGAGACCTACAGCTTCGAGGTAACGGTCCAGGATCAGGAACTGTCATGCCAACGTACAGTGCGCCTTCCAGTCGGGGAGTTGGTTTCCAGTGGGAAACACGACGGTGGAGTGCGTTGCCCGTGACGCTTCTGGCAACAGTGCCAAGGCCAGCTTCCAGATTCACGTGACCGGAGATGAGGAGCCGCCAGTGTTCACCCAGAGCTCAGACATCGTGGTCAACACGAGCAGCGACATCGCCCAGGTTATGTTCCATGTGGAGGTCACAGACAACTGTTCTGCAGTGGTGCCCTATTGTGCTCCAGCTTCTGGTAGTTTGTTCCCGGTGGGTAGCACCCAGGTGAAGTGCAGTGCAGTGGATACAGCCGGGAATATTGCCAACATGATCTTTCACGTCAATGTCAGTGAGGACGACGTGGCCTCCAACTCCAGCAACACCGGGGACGGCTGCGGGAGCCAAGGGCCCGTGACCCCCCTGAGCTTCAGCATGCTGCCAAACATTACTGTGGCGGCCGAGCAGTGCACCGTAGCTCAGGTGACCTTCGATGTGGCGGCCACTGGAGGTTGCGAACCAGAGACGGTGTGCGTGCCTCCGTCCGGGTCCATCTTTCCGGTTGGCAGTTCCACGGTGACATGCACGGCCACGGATGTGTCTGGCAACGGTGCCAATTCCAGCTTCCAGATTCACGTGACCGGAGATGAGGATCCGCCAGTGTTCACCCAGAGCTCAGACATCGTGGTCAACACGAGCAGCGACATCGCCCAGGTTATGTTCCATGTGGAGGTCACAGACAACTGTTCTGCAGTGGTGCCCTATTGTGCTCCAGCTTCTGGTAGTTTGTTCCCGGTGGGTAGCACCCAGGTGAAGTGCAGTGCAGTGGATACAGCCGGGAATATTGCCAACATGATCTTTCACGTCAATGTCAGTGAGGACGACGTGGCCTCCAACTCCAGCAACACCGGGGACGGCTGCGGGAGCCAAGGGCCCGTGACCCCACTGAGCTTCAGCATGCTGCCAAACATTAGTGTGGCGGCCGAGCAGTGCACCGCAGCCCAGGTGACCTTCGATGTGGCGGCCACTGGAGGTTGCGAACCAGAGACGGTGTGCGTGCCTCCGTCCGGGTCCATCTTTCCGGTTGGCAGTTCCACGGTGACATGCGCGGCCACGGATGTGTCTGGCAACAGTGCCAATTCCAGCTTCCAGATTCACGTGACCGGAGATGAGGATCCGCCAGTGTTCACCCAGAGCTCAGACATCGTGGTCAACACGAGCAGCGACATCGCCCAGGTTATGTTCCATGTGGAGGTCACAGACAACTGTGCTGCAGTAGTGCCCTATTGTGCTCCAGCTTCTGGTAGTTTGTTCCCGGTGGGTAGCACCCAGGTGAAGTGCAGTGCAGTGGATACAGCCGGGAATATTGCCAACATGATCTTTCACGTCAATGTCAGTGAGTACGACGTGGCCTCCAACTCCAGCAACACCGGGGGCGGCTGCGGGAGCCAAGGGCCCGTGACCCCACTGAGCTTCAGCATGCTGCCAAACATTAGTGTGGCGGCCGAGCAGTGCACCGTAGCTCAGGTGACCTTCGATGTGGCGGCCACTGGAGGTTGCGAACCAGAGACGGTGTGCGTGCCTCCGTCCGGGTCCATCTTTCCGGTTGGCAGTTCCACGGTGACATGCACGGCCACGGATGTGTCTGGCAACAGTGCCAATGCCAGGTTCGAAGTTTTGGTGACTTGTGATGATGTTCCTGGCGCCTATCACCATCGCCGTGGCAAGAAAGGAAAGAAGGATAAAAAAGGCAAGAAAGATGCAGATGACTAGCTGTAGCTTCTTTCGATTTCGACACCGAACCCATCCGCGACCCAGCTGCCAGCAGCCTCAATCGGTAGATGAGTAGACAGGAACGCTACCCAGCCGCTACCCTATTCAGAACGCATGGCTTTTGTGTAGCTTTCATCACAGCTCTCATGTCAAGTGCTTCAATGTCCAAGAGCTCTTGCGAAAGCGGCAACTGGCAACTGCTTAGATTCAGACATATATGTTTTGAAGGCGGGAGCCCTAGCGACCGACCGGGCTTTTCATTTTTCTGGTCTGAGTCAGATTGTCCTCAGGCTGGGGCCCGGTTTCGGATGTTAGTCTGACATGTTTGCTGAGCAAAGCAATGTCTACTTCAGTGCCGCAAGAGTACGAAAATGCAGGCAAAGTGCCGGTAAAAAAGCGTCTTCCGGCTGAGCAAGGCCACAAAGGCTTGGGCACTGCTCTGGCGCAGCAGAAGAGATGTTCCTTGCCCATGTGGGGACACTGGACCGAGAAGCATGCGACACAACCAAGGAACTATAGGACCAGCACAGATTCAGCCTTTTTGTGACTCTGGAAGGCTTTCAGCGCAGCACAGTTCCAGAAGCAAGCCTTGTAAATCCAACCTGTACCCTAGCTTCAGCAAGTATCGTGGGTTCCGGGGCCTTTTACGGCTTGTGCCCGCGCCACGCAGCCCTCCGAAGCAGTGGCTGGGGCTTGAGCCCTCACCAAGTGAGTTCATGTTATGCGTGCAGCTGCCTGGTCCTGGGGCACCTCACGCTGCTGATGTCTCGCCACAGCTTCTTTCTTCGCAGCTAGCAGCCAGCTAGAACTGTCGGGGCATTTTCATGTTCGCAAGTGGCATCGATGTTGTGGTGCTGCTGCATCTTCACAGAACACACATGGAGACCTTAGAACCATGTCTGAGGTCAAAAAGCGGCTGGCCGTGCAGATGGTCCAGGGCTGAAAGGAAAGTCATGAACGAGCAGCCCCCACCACAGCCCAAAAAAGCTGCCAGCAGAATATGGATGCTAATGGATGCCCAGTGCTGGCTCCTGGGAACTGAAGTTGGCTACTGAACACTGCAGGAAGGCCCTTCTTGTCTTGGTTTCGGTAAAACCACAGAAGGCCTTAAGGGTTTCGGGCTTCTGACAATGCGCTGTCCACTGGTTGGAGGGGCTGCCTTGGGAGGAATATAGGTTTAACGGTCTGGAAATCTTGAACCATCTTGAAACCCAGATACTGGTTAAAGGCAAAAGGGTTTAGGGCTCAGGCACTCCATGACTTTATGAAGCCCCCCCCCCCATGGTGAGCAAAAGGCTCTGACCAAAGTGGGAAGCGTGCAGCTCAAGCAGTTCCGCTTGGGAGGCATGCAAGCATGCAAGCAGCAAGCACTCAGAAGCCAATCCCAAGCGCAGGGTATTGAATAATAGTCATGGAAGTAAAACTTAGTCATAATCATAGTAGCAATAATAATATTGTTAAAAAAACACAAATAATCATAGTCGTAGTCGTAGTTTTTTGAGGGGTGGTACTGGTCTTGTGCCATGCTGGGGCCCGCAAGGAGAGGTTGTTAGCTGTCCCACAATTTCCTGGAAAGCCATCACCCTCGGTTTAGGGTTTAGGGTTTAGGGTTTAGGGTTTTGCTGTGATAGAGAGTAGATGCTGTGAAAGGTTTCGGAACAAGCTCGAAAGCTTCGTGAGGCGCGAAGAGCAGCTTTGGCCCGATTGTGGAAGGCCATCTAACACTTTTCTCCCACCCCACGCCGTCCGAGGCGGCAAAGCCACCCAAACCTATTCCTTTTAGGGTTTAGGCCTAAACTCGGACAACAGTCCACTTCTAAAAACTCATTCAGCTCATGACGTTCGTTGGGTCCGAGAGTTAAAGGAATGGGGGGTCGGGAGGCGGTCCAGGGGGAAAGTGCCAAGGGAAACAGGGTCCGGTACCCCAAAAAAGGCAAAGGCAGGGGCCCACCTCTGCCAGAGCCACCTCCAGGCAAAAGCGGGTTTAAGATATGTACTTATAATCCATAGGGGACAAGTACTGGTCCCGAGGAGAACGTGTTCCGGTACCTGCCCCATCGTGGGCGTGACCCCCATGCCGTAACGTAGGGGGCGGCCTAGGCCCTGAGTTTAGGGTTTAGGGTTTAGGGTTTAGGGTTTAGGGTTTAGGGTCATTGCAACACAACAACCGTGACAACCCGCAAACCCAACGCCGCCCAAGCTCCGAATCCGAAACCACATCGGGGGGTTAGAAATAGGAGTTTGGGGTCTAGTACCCTTCGGGGTACCCAAATATCTTTGAGCCCTAAACCGACACCGAGGTTGATGCAGCATGCAATGGGCCAGGTCCTCATGTCATGATCAAGGGGGGTCTTGTGAGGATGGTTTCCTGAATGTTCGTGGTCAGTCGTTGTTGGGTTCAAGCCTTGAGGCTGTCAAACACCAGCACCTCCCAAAAGTTGACTCATGGTAACAACACCACCAAGCACCCTCAGCCGAGGGCTGTGGCAGCTGAAGAGCTGGTGCCCAGGGAGCATAAAGCTTGCGAGAACTCATGGACCCAGCAGTTGAGCCTTGACCTTGCATCCCGAGATCCTCTTTAAAAGCCATTCGAAGCCTGTAAGCGGTTTGGATCCAAGCCTCGTTCATGCACAGGGGCGTCTGTAGACTCTACATGGGCTTGCCCTTGCAGACAACAGGGTTATTTGTGCTGACGCATGTCGGACCAGGTCTACGACAATGTATATACACAACTCACACATAGGGAGGGAATCAATACTGCAGAGCTTTCTGTGAAGTTTACGGCTGCGTGTGCTGAGGCCCCGAGACGCATTTGGTTGGGGTTTGGACGTGTTTGGGTCGTGCATGCCTCGATGCCATGCGACGGAGCTGCCGCCGCCTGTGCATCCTCGGAATCCTCGGAATCCTGGGCCCAGGCTCACTTGCCCTGCTTGGCTTCGCCGGCCGCGGCTTCGCCGGCCGCGGCTTCGCCCGCCCCCGCATGCCCGCGCTGCGCGCGGAGTCCGCGCGCATTGGTGGGCCCGTGAAGCCCCTCCAGCCTTGGCGTGCGCTGCAGGCCCTGGATCTGCGAGCCGGGCTGGTGCAAGAGGCCAAGATGCCCGCCGAGGTGGCAAGCAAGTACAAGATCAAAGCTCCAGCCGCTCGCTGATCACATAAGAGTCCGTGCCCCCTGCGCGTCCGACTCCGAACCAGAGGCAGCAATCTCCAAGACTGTGTTTTGGAGGACCGGAAGGACAGGCATAGTAAAAGTGCGGTGTTGCGCACACCCCCCTAAACCCTAAACCCTAAACCAGGTATACGTTGTGTGGTGCAACTTTGGCCGCATCCTGGAGTGGCCTCACGATGATGGCGCATGGTCAACGCCCGAGAACCTTGTGACGGCCGCAAAGATCCGAAGCTACTGCTGCTAGGCAGGCCCTTGGGACGTTTCATATTTTTCCTCTGCTATGGGGTTTCAAAGGGTAAACCCTACACCCCAATCATTCTTGGGAATATTTTTCAGAGGGTTTGAGGGCCCATCCGAGGCTCCCTGGAGGTGCTAAACTGTGGTGGCTGCCAGGTGGTCGGACTCCTGAATGCCGGCACCAAGCAGATCGGGAAGCTGAAGACCTACTACCTCCTCACCGGCGCCTACACGGACGAGGACCCTGAGGAGCACAACGTGGCCAGGACGGTGCCCATGCTCCCCGTGGAGCCAGGATCTCGCCCCTTAAGCCTGTTTTGCAAGGGTTTGTAAGGTGGTTTCCGAAATGAGGGTACCTTATTGGGGTCCTTATGATAAGGCAATCCTAGTGTTTGGGGGCTATGTTAGGGGTCCCCTATTTTCGTAAACCCCCAATGAGGGATTTGCCAATTGTGAGGCATGGCATTTTTTTGTGTCATCTTGGCATCGATTTTCTATTTTCTCGAGGTGTGACCGTCCTCTCACTGCTTCCAGATGGCAGCCGATATGTGGATGAGCCCGAGACAGGTGCGCCCCTCCTGCCCGTCATGGACTTTGAAGAGGACTTCCTGTCCAAGGCGGATCTTCGGGTGGGCCGCATCAGCCACATCTCCGCGGACGTCGTCGTCCCCGAGGGCGGGGCTCTCATCCTGCCAGTTGCTGTGGCTCCGAGCTGTGCATTCGGCTGTGCAGATGGATACGCACCGCAGCTTTCAATGTTTTTTCCTCCGTCCTGGGAAGCTGAGGTGAAGGCCGCGTCGTCATTCTTACGGCCGACTTCGGACCTGGGGCCTTTCACTTGCGCACCCGTGCCCCAGCGTCCGTGCAGGCAGCTACTGTGTCTTGGCTCCTCCTTGAAATCACAGAAAGGGGGTGTCAATCTTCCATGCGTAGATGTGGGGGGTTTCCGAAAAATGGGGGTACCCTTCTTGGCAGGGTCCGTTTTTCGGGGATTCTTTTCTATTTGGAGTATAAAAGGGTACCCGTATTTTGGGAAATGCCCATAGCGTGTGGCCGGTGAATCGTGGGAAGAGACCCAGCCCCCAGGACCTGACTGGAAGGATTGTGGTCGGCATGGTGAACCTGGACGACCAGGATAACGAGTTCCTCCTGCTCGGCTTCGAGGAGGATGGCTTGGCAGTACCGCTGAGCTGTGACGCCGTGGGTCCCGACCTTCCTCCCAACGGCTCCCGCCTCCTCTAGGAGACCCGAAAATCCGAGGCAAAGTTTGCCCCCAAAGACCGGTCTCAGTTTCTGTACAGAGGCGCATCAGGGGTAGATGAATCAGACCGATGCTTCCAGCATCGCTTTGCCATTGTGGCCTTGCTTTATGGACCAGTCCTTTCTTTGGGGCTGCCACGTCTCGTTGAACGATGCTCGCAGGCCAAGGAGCCTCGGCAAGGCATGCCCCTTGCTGGCCTTCGGGCCATGCCTGTCCGTGCCAGAAAGCGTGCTTCCCTTTGCTGGCTTCCGCATGTCGGCTGATAGGGTTGGCGGCAGATGTTCCCCACCTTTGCAGGTCGAAGCTGATCATCGCAAGGATGGTGGCTAAAAGCTCTCCTTTGTTGGGGAAGGTAGGGGCCCTGCTTGAAAAAGCGATTTGCCAACACTAGGGTGCGACTGTGGGGCTTTGACTCACACCATGTGTTCAAACATGTCTAACATGAGGCCTAGTGGAGAGCGCTATCAGAAGGTGGCCCGGCTTCGTCGGTGTGGCTCCTGCTGGGACCACAAAAAGAGCTCGTGCGACACTGTGGGTCCTGGGGGGCAGATGGGTGGTGAAGGATCGTGGGGTGTTGACTTAAGAGGCTCCCGATGTGCTTTCGAAGCTCCCCAATACAACTCACAACTTACTCATTTTTGCTGTAGTGCACGGCTCTAGAGTCTACGAGAGTCTACGAGAGTCGAGAGCGAAGAGGGTGACCCTGCCTTTGACAAGAGTTCTTGGTTGTCGAGCACTCGTCGATGCCGTGCCTCTCCATGCGTTGGATGCAGGCGACGGCTCTGCTGTGGAAGCGAGCAACGCGGGTTGCAAAGGCCTCAGGCGGGCCGATTCCTGCAGTGCAAGCCATCTGCAGCGCACGTTGGCTGTTTGATGAGTCAATGAGCCAGTTTGGCTCACACGGGGCAAGTTAGGACAACAGCACAGGGTTTTGGAACTACTGCCATGGCAGGAATTGCCAGAGTTCTCTTGGCGCTGATGTTGACTTCTTGCTCGGATGTTGCGGGAGCCGAGTGCCAGGACATTGTGACCACGCAATACGCCTTCGCGATCAGGAAGAGCGACGGCACGGTGGTGACTTGGGGAGACTCTAGCATGGGTGGGGACTCCTCCGCTGTACAGAGTCAGTTGACTTCCGTTGAGGTGATCTACGCAAATCTACAAGCCTTTGCCGCCAAGAGGAGCGACGGCACGGTGGTGACCTGGGGAGACCCTTAAAATGGTGGGGACTCCTCTGCCGTGGCGGGCCAGTTGACCAACGTGGATGTGATTTATGCAAATGGCTTTGCCTTCGCTGCCAAGAAGGGCGACGGCACGGTGGTCACCTGGGGTAAAGCAGAGATTCTCCCCGACTCCAGTACGGCAAGCCAGTTGACTTCAGTGGACGTGATCTACGCTAACAAGCACGGCGAGACCTTTGCCGCCAAGAAGAGCGACGGCACGGTGGTGTCCTGGGGAGAAGCGGGCTGGGGCGGGGACGCGTCCGCCGTGCAGAGTCAGTTGACTGCAGTTGACGCGGTCTATGCGACGATACGAGCCTTTGCCGCCAAGAAGAGCGACGGCACGGTGGTGACCTGGGGGAGCCAGTGGGACGGCGGGGACTCTTCCGCCGTGGCGGGCCAGTTGACCAACATAGATGTGATCTATGCAGGTGGCACGGCCTTCGCTGCCAAGAAGAGCGATGGCACGGTGGTGACTTGGGGTGCAAGCGGTTTCGATGGCGGTGGAGACTCTTCCGCAGTGGCAGGCCAGTTGACCAACGTGGACGTGATCTACGGTGCATATTTAAGTTTTTCCGCCTTGAAGCACGACGGCACGGTGGTTCTCTGGGGTGGCGGGGCCGACTCCTCCTCGGTGGCGACCGTGACTTCGGTGGAGAATATCTCTTTTACAACTCTTGGGAGTTTTGCCGGCAGAAGGAGCGACGGCACTGTGGCGTCCTGGGACTCTGGTTTTGGCGTCGTGGACCCCTCTGCTGTACAGAGTCAGTTGACCAACGTGGAGGTGATCTATGCAGCGGATCTCGGGGCTTTCGCTGCAAAGAAGCTCGATGGTACCGTGGTCGCCTGGGGCGATCCCACGTATGGTGGGGACCCCTCCGCGGTACAGAGTCGGTTGACCAACGTGGATGTGATCTATGCAAACATTGGGGCCTTTGCCGCCAAGAAGCTTGATGGTTCTCTGGTCGTCTGGGGTTGGGATCAGGCTGGTGGGGACATTTCGCAAGCTGACCTTGACGCTTCTTGCCCCGCCATCACCACAACGACCACGCTCTCCTCCACGGTGTCCTTGACGTCCACCTCCTTCAGTGTGACTGAAACATCCGTCACGAACACCACAGCCACGTCAACCTCAGCAACAGGGACAGCCACGTCAACCTCCACTACCGGAACGTCCTTGACTGTGACAGTGACATCCACTTCAATGTCGTCGACAGTGACTGCCACGTCAACCTCCGTTACTGGGACTTGGACATCCGTTACGGAGACCTCGACGGCGACGTCAACCTCCACTACAGCGTCAACGTCCACTTCGCTCAGCGTGACTGTGACATCCCTGACGTCCTCTTCGACGTCCTCCTCCGGCTCCACGGTGTCCATGGTGTCCACGGCCACGCCGACGGCCACGTCAACCTCCTCCAACATGCTCCTGCGATTGGTCTCTGGAGTTCGATGTGCTTTGTAGAACTTCCGGTTTGTTAGAGGGATTATGGTATTTTACAGCGTTCCCTTTGCCACAGCCAGTGCTCGTATTTCTCAGCAAGTTGTCCAGGCTCATTCTGAACGAGGATGTGAATTTGCGGGGTGACGAGGTTCGCTTGTCGACGGTCGGCTTTGCTTTGTCCATCTTCGCAGCAGTGCTCGGTGGAACCCTCATCGGCCTGGTGATTGGTGTCACATGTCAACTCTGGCGCCCGCCTACGGGGCCTACGGTTTTGGAGACCTCTCGGGAGGCTTCTTCTTCCATCCAGGCGAGCCCAATCGACATTGAGGAGGTGGGGCATGTGTCTCTCTTGACATCGATGGTCGAATGGGCAGAATGGGGATCAACTTGTAGGGATGTAGACATGCAGCCCCACCAGCCCCAATACCTTTGGTGTGGCAGATCAACTTGTTGCAAGTCATTGCCCTGGATGCCTAGTCTCCACGACAACTAGCGATCAGCAGGGTGTAAGTCCGCATGGGCCTGTATAGAATTCAGCACCCTCTACAGAGCAAAATTTGGTAGTACGTGCCTTTCTCTCCTTCCCGCCACCGACCCTGCACAGGTCGTGGTTGATCCAGTTGAAGGTGCGGGAGGCAGCCAGCTCTTCGACGACAACACCAGTTCCTTGAGCGTCTAATGGGAAGTCTACCAACAACAAGCAGAAGAAACAAAAAACAAAACGACTCAGAGGTCCCACAATGACCATTGAGCTGAATCGAGTCAAAGGTTGTTCCTGATGGCTCGGAGGTGTAGTTCTCGGCGGATTTGTTCGTCGGTACCTCCATGTTTACCGTTCCACAGAGTCAAAAGGATTTTCCCCGATGCCTTAAAGGGGCAATCGGGCAATCCTCAGCAGGTCTATTTGGCGTTCCTCCTTGACTGTGTCTTGCCTTTAAACTTTAAGCTGCCATGATGCGTGTCGTTTTGCCTGCCGCACTGGCAGGCTTGTGAAAGAGCCGAGGGATGGTTGGGAAAGGATCTCTGTCAGTTTGTCTTGCGTGGTCTAAACCCTAAACCCTAAACCCTAAACCCTAAACCCTAAACCCTAAACCCTAAACCCTGGACCACAAATTTCCCTAAACCCTAGCCACTCCGAGATCCATTCTCGGGCTCGGCGCGAATCTTCCTCCAGGGCGCACGGTCATGGCTGGGCTCCCTGCTATGGGGGAGCCCGAATCCAAAGACGATTTTGTTACTACTACGAATTGCTTAGGAACCCCGAAAAAAATTGAAGAATATTCTTCCTTGTTAAGGGCAATTTTTATTCGTGTTGGGGGTTCTTAAGCAACTAGCAGATTCGTGCTCTGCCTTCACCACCCCTTCTTGGCTTTAAGCCGTGACAAAAAACCCGTGCTTCCCTGCTGGCCTAAACATGTCGGCTGAAAACCTTTGGCGGCAGACGCTCCCCCATTGCAGGTCGAAGCTGATTAGCGCAAGGATCGTGCGGCTGGGGCTTTGATCCACAGCCACATGGTGCCACATATTGCTGCCGCAATGTGTTCAAAGCATCTTGAAGCACATCTCCTGCAACCCTCATGGAGAGCCAGGCCGGGGGATCAGAAGATGAGGCGGACCGGCTTCGAGGCCTCGGCGTGTGCGGATCAACTCCTGCGGGTTGCGCAGGAAGACGATGGGGCCGAGCGAGCGAATAATGCCAAGTCTTATGCCTGTTGTCCACATCAGTGACATTCGCATGGCCTTTGATCCACAGCCCACATGATGCCACATGTGTTCAAACTTGTTCGAATATATTTCCCGAAACTCTCATCGCGAGCCAGGCAGGGGGATCAGAAGATGAGGTGGCCCGGCTAGCGCACGGCGTTTACGCGAAGAGGATGCCTCGGTCGCATGAGACCTTGGGCAGGTTCGGGCTTTGTGTCGTTCTGTTGGACCTTAAGCTTGGGACTGCCAAGCACAATCCTTACTTGGAGGTTCAGGGTACTTGTCACCCCAATGATAAGTTATAACTGTTCTTACAAGCCCCCTGAGTCCTCTAAGTCCCCTAAGCAGGTTATCAGTTAGACTGATAGTTGGGGTTATAAAAGTACCCATGAAGAAGCTGGTGGCGGGAAAGGTGAGCCACCCAGCGACACGAGCTACACAATGGGCTTCGGGTTGCGGGTTTAGGGCATGGTCTCGATGAATGCCTGGCTCAACCCTAAACCCTAAACCCTAAACCCTAAACCCTAAACCCTAAACCCTAAACCCTAAACCCTAAACCCTAAACCCTAAACCCTAAACCCTAAACCCTAAACCCTAAACCCTAAACCCTAAACCCTAAACCCTAAACCCTAACCTAAACCAGCTTTCAGGACCATTCGGCGCTGGCCAGAGAGACGTTTTCTCCCACATGCGCCTTGTGAGTCAAGACAGCCGCCATGGGGCCCCCAATTCAGACAGAGTTTAGGTGGCAGAAACTCCAGCCGCACACGAAAAGGTTCAGACCCCAGGTTTTGTATGGTTTTGTAACCAAAAAAATGGTTTTGTATGGTTTTGTGTGGTTTTGTATGGTTTTGTATGGTTTTGTATGGTTTTGTATGGTTTTGTATGGTTTTGTATGGTTTTGTATGGTTGTGTAACCAAAAAAACCTACCGAACACGCAGCTGTCTTTTGCATTGGCAGCGCCATGGTGCTGTTCCGGCAGTGTCCGCTGCCCCCAGACGTTCCTGGCAAGCTTTGGCTGCATTCCATGCCGGGAAAGAATGAAGACTGGAATGTTTTCGTTGAGAATGCGAAGTCTGCAGATGTCAAGGGCATCGCCTGCATGACGAGCCGTGCGGAGGTTCAGGAGAAATCGCCCAGCTATGCCGAGGCCATATCAAAGGACTCTGCTCCTTGCAAGGTCTTGGAGTTTGCCATTCCGCCGGGCGGCGTGCCTGAGGACGCCGCTGCTTTCAATAGCTTCATTGCGAGCTTGATCACGCTTGTGCGCGAAGGCCAGGGTGTTTTGGTACACTGCACCGGCGGTGTGGGGCGAACGGGCTTTGTGGCCATCTGCATGCTGCAGCGGCTTGGTATGGACCTCGAGGACGCGAAGGCGCGAGTGCGCGAGGCGGGAAGTGGCCCCGAGACGGATGAGCAGCACGCGTACCTCAAGTCCTTTGCGGAGAGGGGCGCCTCCATGGGGGTTTGAAAGGCAGTATTTGCAATTCGTGATGGCAAGGATCAAGGTCACGAACTTGCCCTGGCATTAGGCCCTTGGGCCTGCAAAGAGCAGGGGCGATTTTCCGAGGACAATGACAATGACAAACTGAGTTTTTGATTTTTCGCGGTTTTTGGCGCGCAACCGTCCCATTGGCGTTGCCAATCACACGCTGCGCTGGGAGCGCGTCAGACCACTGCCGTGCGCACAAAAAAATGGCGTGAACCCTTGTGGTGCCCCGTGTTGATCTCGATCAGTCAAGCTTGTCTACCCCAGAGGCTGAATGCGTTCTTGCCCCACCCATGCCGCAGTCAGTGCACTACTCCCGGAGCAAAGCACATTGAGTCGCGATCCTATATGGGTGGTTGTCAAAATTATGGTCCCTTCTTGGATCCCTATAAAAATACGGCACTTAATATTTAGGGTACCCAAAAGGGGGTCATGATTTTGACACCCATACAAGCCCTACATGCAGAGTTGACTTGGGGACCTCAGGCTTCTCGAACCCCTATTTGAAGCCGTACGCAGCACCGGCAACTTGAGCACCGCCAGCTTTAGAAGACAAGCAGTCGCAGGTAGAGGGGGGCGGGGGAGGTCAGGATGTTGTTCGGGGCGTTGTCAGAAGCAGCAATCAGCAGCATCCAGGACCTGACAGCGGCGTGTGTGAAAAAGCGAGCAGCCCTAAACCCACCAGCATTAGCAATAGCAGCGTTCGCGGTGCTCATTCTCGTGGCTGCCTCAAGCGCTATACTGCTGCTGCAGGATCCCACGAAGCAGCCCGGCGAGGCTGAGAGGAGTAGGTTTAGTCACGTTTAAGGGTTTTAGAGTTTTGGGCTTTGGGTGTGAGGGACACTTTGACCCTTTTGGCTTTGATGTGTGCCATCTGCGAAAGCACACCCCAGATACCTACGCACCAAGCAGTCCCTAAGGAATCTGATGTAACACTCAGGAAAAATACTATTAAACTGTGCTTACAGCCCTCCTTCGTAGGAGCTGCGGGCTGACATTTTTGATACAGCCACCCTCTACTATGATCTTCTTATGGCCATTATATCATTGAATCAGAACCATTAAAAGGGTGTCGATCTGGCTCATGTCCCTTTTTTCCCGCAATCTGTGAAGTCCAAGATTTTCGCAGAATCGCTCGACGGGTGTCAGAACGTTTTCCGAATTGCAGGGAAGGTCACTGGACACGAGACAGGACATTTTGAAGACCTGCAGAAGTGCCACATGCAGTGCAGAGGTCGCATCGCAACGTGGCTCCCTGCAAGTCGGACGGGATGCCCGCACGTCGGCAGAAAAAACGCACAACTTCGTTTCCGGTCAGATTTTGGGGACGGGTCTTGAGCGCCTGTTACTCAGGCAAGAGGGGCATCCGGGACGGGGTCGATTCTGTGTAGAATCCTGATCTCAGATTTTGAATCCGTTCCAGCGTTTGTGCGTTTCGGGCAGGAAGCTCTCGGAAATGCTCGCAGCACCGTGGCTCCAGATGCAGCCGGGTGCCAGTACAAGTAGCCGCGCGAGAGCTGACATGGCAGAGGCAGGCGAACCTTTGCTTCCCGCGTCGGAGAAGGAGAAAGGGGCCAAGGAGGCCAAAGATGTCTCCGGCGGAGTGCTCCACTCACATCTGCCCCTGGATGTCCGAAAGCAATGGTATGCCATTGCCCTGAGTAAGGATCTTCCGAAGGCCAAGCCTGGTCAAGTCGGTGCGGCTGCGGCGGCCCCAATGTCTACATCGCTGCTGGGAGATCCGCTGGTGCTTTGGAGGGATCTGGAGGGGAAGGCTTTCTGCGTGGCGGACAAGTGCCCACATCGCTCGGCGCCGCTATCACTTGGGAAGGTGAACGGGGACACGGGGCACATGGAGTGCATCTATCACGGCTGGCAGATTGATGGATTGTCCGGGCGAGTCGTGGAAATCCCGGCCATCATGGAAGACAAGACCATCCCTTCCAACGCGAAGGTGCGAGTCTACGCGCTCTATGAGCAGGATGGCGTTGTGTATGTTTGGGCGGGTGATGCCGAGGATGCTGTAGGAGCAGCGAGCCCTCCAAGGGACACAAGTGACTCTGGAATGCCATTAGCTGACTCCAGCAGTGGCTTTGTGATGTCGGCTATGTGTGTGGACTTGCCCATCGACCATGCGCTCATGGTCGAAAACTTGTTGGACCCTGCGCACATTCCGTTTGCCCACGAGGGCACCATTGGTAGCCGCAAGAAGATTGAGCGCCTTCAGATGACAGTGACGAAAACTACCAATGGGCTTCGCGGCTCTGTGAAAGAAGGACATGGTCTCTCTAGGTTTCTAAAGGGCTGAGTACAAGTGAGGGTCCTCCACGTGTAAGGGGGGCTAGAAGGCACAGTGCACCATGCCGCATGTGTAGTGCGGTTGCATGATGTTCAGATAGATAGATAGATAATGTCTACATCGGCAGGCGTACAAAGGTTTTGTTTCTAGGAACTCTCGCCCTGAGGATACTACAATGGCTTCGAAGCTCCTTGCAATATCATCCTGCACACACCGCCAGTTCCTGGAAAGATGGATATGTATCAGTACGTGGCGTGCACTCCGACGGCACCCGGTCAAATGCGAATGGTCTACCGTGCTTATCGCAACTTTGCCAAGTGGGCGGAGAAGATCCCACCGATCCGGCGAATCTTCGAAGACATGAGCAAGAAGATCATCTTCCAGGATTACCAGCTTCTCCTCGGGCAGCAGCTGCGCCTTCGCGAGGGCGCGCTCCCATGGAACAGCACCATTCAAGTGGACTGTCTGCCTTTAGCCTACCGGCGATATTGGCAGCGAACGTATGGAAAGCGCAGTGAGGGACCCTGGTGGCGTGGATGGGATGGGAAGCTGGAGGTGGAAGATCTGGACAGACTTGGCTCTTGGGACAAAGAGTTCGACTGCAATGGCTGCGCGGTGCCCAAGAAGCCACATCATCCTCAGAAGCTCGACTTACCTTTCCAACTGTTTTTGTTCCAGTGTAAGAGTCTAAAAACGCTTGCTTGCGCGCCGCCTCTGCAGCCGGGCTGGCCCCACGCAGGGAGTAGCGCGCGCAGCGGTCCTGGGAGGGGTCCCTGGAAGGTCCAGAATAGGGTCTGAGGGGGTGTCTGAGGGGGGGGGAAGGGTTCGGCTGGAAGCCGAATGTTCATGTGCTTGTTTTTGTTTTAAAGTCTTGCGCTGTGAGTTCCCTTCTCCACTCGAGGAATGTTCTCGAAATCCCTGGTGCAGCCGGACAGCCACTTCGGCCAGCGGGCCCTGCGCCATGGTGGAAGTTGTGGGCGCCTCCACTTGCTGCTGCGCTCCTCGCGGCAATCCTCACGCGCAAGGCAACTTCTTAGGTTTCTGAGGCGGATGGCAGAAGTCTTCCAGGGACGTGTCCGCACAAGTCTAGTTGGAACTCCGGTGAAAAGGCAAGACAGTGCGGGGGCCCTCATGCCGAATTATAGCTTGGCTTCCACAGGAAAGCAGCTTGCAGCTTATCATTCAAGGCCCTCCCCAGACCTGTCATGGGCGATGCACTCGCTGGACGGCTGCGCGAATTTCTCAGGTGTGGCTTGTCATCTTGTCTCGCCATGCATTTTTGAGCTTTCCGGACAGGATGTTGATTGCTGTTCACTGATTCACGACCCGCAGTGTCAAGCACAAGTGAAGGGTTCCGGGACTTGAGAGTGCGTTGCCTTATGGACTTGTAAGTCTGCACCGTTTTGCGGCTCAGATTTGGGGCGCAGGCGCCTGTGGCATGTTCATGGGGTACATGCCGAAGTTTCTTACAATGCGGTCAGGAAAGACCACCACCATGTTGTCCGAAGCAAGAAGCCTCAGAGCAACATGGCCTCACCCTGCCGTGCAATGTTTCAGAATGCTGGAAAGCACTGTGACATGACTGCGTGGGACAAGGAGTGGCAGGCCAGGTTTGTTACGTCTCCTCTGGTTCACACAAAAAGCTTCCGAAAGCTGCTCGTGTTGTGTGAGGCTTGAACTTGGATGAAGGCTTAGAGTTTCGATGGGCTTGGGATTGCTGGCTTTGGTGCCTGCATGCATGTATGCATGCATGTGTGCGTGCACGCACGCATATGTGTGTGTGTGTGTGTGACCGTGCAACTTTGTGAACTGAAGCAATCTCCCCGTCATTCCAACTTGTTCCCTGGCGCTTGGGGACGATGCGCCAATACGCATCACGCCAAAGACTAGAGTGGATATCTGCACACGTGTTACAATACAAGCTACTTTCTCCGAAGGCATGAGGTAGTCAGCAGCCCAGAACAGCCGCTCTTGCCGCTTGCGCTCCTGTTGAGGCGCTGGAGCCATTGTGTTTCGCCGGGCGCTCAGATCTGTGTTGCTGAAAACCTCGGCAAGTCCCTGGCGACTGTTTTTGGGGGGGCGAAGGGTGCGTACGTGTAGGGGTTTGGGGTGCTTCACGTCCAGGGCCATGCAAGAACTGAGCTCGAAACGCCTCGGCTCAACAAGGTGACGGAGGTTGGGGGCCTGTGAGGGGGGCACTCGTCCTGGATGCGGTGCCTTTTTTCTAGTGGGTTTCGAGAAGGTATTTTCAACCCCCTCAACTGTAACCCACAAAACTTACGCATAACAGGTCAGTTCCTTTAGGGGGGTCTCAATCCAAATCTCCCCGGAATTCCTGTTCCGGGCCTCATCTGGCACTGCAAGCAGCACCCTCCGAGTTTGAGCACCATCAGACATTTGCGTTCCATTTGTGCCCAGCATTGGCGGACTTAAAGGAATGTAGAGGTCAACTCTTCGCCTGCGCCTGATTCTGGCAAACCGCTTTCATGTGCGGCTGTGCTTCGAGTCTCCCGTCAAGGCAAGGTACACTCTCTTTTTCCCCGTCTCTCTCTCTCCACCATAACAATCCCTGAACCCACCAAACAAGCAAACACTCACCAAGCCCATCTTCTCTAAACTCCTGGGTAGGATAAGGGGGACCCTTAAAAAGGAACCCCTTCTGAACCCTCTTCTGGCTCTCTTAAGCAGGGACCTTATTCAGAGGGTCTATATCCCCAAGGGTCCCCCTAAGCCTATCCCCTATAAACAACTGCGGTCGGAGTCGGGCTGGCCTGGAGTGGGCCTCCAAAGGTTGTGATCTGTAATTTGCCCCCGCAGAATCAGTGTACCAGGTACTCAGGGTACAGTAGGACAACGCCCAGGGGGTCTCACCGATGGTTTTCGAATGTTTGGGTATTTTGAAATCCAGTGGCCTGAAGCATATATGAAACCTTCACTGTCGCCCCCCAAAACAAAAAGCGGACTTAAGCATGACAGCCATAGCCATCATGGTCCTTGGGTTGGCTGGGCTTGTTGCCAAGTCGGATGGTCGGGTTCACGGCCCCCAGCTGGATCCCGAAACGGATCTCGACTGCGGCGCACGGCAGCTGGCGTACCTTTATGCCCAGAGGCTTCAACCGTGGCTTGCACCGCACCGCGAGGTCTTCGACGCTCTACAGCTGCACACGGTCTGCGGCCAAGTGCCTCCTGAAAGAGGAAGTGGCGGTGAGCAGCAAAGGGACCCAGAACCAGCTTCCTCGAATACCCGTTTGGGTATCTTCGTCAGCCCTGCTGGAGATGACAAGGGAGGCACTGGTTCTGAGGCCAGGCCATTTGCCTCCTTGCACCGGGCGCTGCAGGTGAGACGCTCTCATCCAGAAGCCCGCAAGATCATTCTCCGCGGCGGCGTCCATTTTCTTGGGTTGAACGGCACGGTGCATCTCGGTCCTGGCGACTCCGAGCTCGAGATTAGCAGCTATCCCGGCGAGGAGGCATGGCTGAGTGGCGGCATACCTCTGAAGGATGTAGCTTGGCAGAAGGTCACACACCCATCGACCGGGAGGAGTGTTTGGCGCACGAAGATGCCAATGGGCCATCAGAGCCACCAAATCAGGAGCCTGTTCACCCTGGAGAGCCATGCTCGACTCAACTGGGCACGCTACCCGAACATGAATGTTGAGACGGATGCTTGGGGCTATGGCAGTCCTGGTCGAGATGAGCGGTACTTAACTCTGGATCATGTGGTTGAGTGGACAAAGCCTCCAGCCGGACATCCCACAACATCGACCGTCATTGATTTGACTGACCCATCTAATCCCACTGGCCACGTGAAGAATGACTCTTCCATGACTGCCTACAACGCGTTCAACGTCGGAAGCGGTGGCGTCTGCGACTCGGTGTGGGATGGACCATCCTATTGGTGCGGCAATTCCAGCGCAGGTGGCTGGGCTGAAGTCGACACTGCCGCGGCGAAGGCTGGAAAGCTCAACATTCCACGTGGCATGAAATGGAACTCTTCACTGACCCGCCTGTCGAAATGGAGCGATCCCCGCGGAGCTTGGATTCACGCATGGCATTCGCAGACGTGGGCGGTTCACATGTTCGAGGTTTCTTCCTTCGACCCGACTTCAAACGTCATGGGCTTTTCCCCAGGTGGTGGTTCGCAGGGTGGCCGGAACTGGTGCAGGTGTGATGAGTGTCCCTATGCTGGCGGCCTATGGACATCCAGTGGTAACTGGTGCGATCGAAAGGAGGCGGCCCACCAAAACACTCGCATAATAGGAGGTAACTGGATCGCCCAAGGCATTTTTGAAGAGCTCGACGAGCCCGGAGAATTCTGGTACAATGCCTCTTCCGCAAATCTATGGGTCTGGCCGAATACCACAGATCCCAACCCACCACGAGACCTGGTGGTGCCAGTGCTTGAAACTCTTGTAGCAGTGCAGGGTGCCAAGAACGTAGCGTTCAGGAACGTTGGCTTTCGTGATGCTGCGTCCACAATCTACCGTCGATGGGGCGTGCCGTCGGGCGGCGATTGGGCTCTGCATCGCAGTGCTGCGCTCTTTCTTGAGGGAACGGAGAACACATCAGTGAGCAACTGCACGTTCAGGCGGCTGGATGGAAACGCAGTCCTTCTCGCCGGCTACAATCGGGGATGCCTCATCTCCAAGAGCCGCTTCCAGTGGATTGGCCAGAATGCGGCGGGAGCTTGGGGGGATACCAAGAACGGTTGGGATGGCACAACAGGCACCCAACCCCGGGGCACCGTTGTCGAAGACTCCATCTTCCACGATGTCGGGCTGTATCAGAAGCAGTCGTCGGCTTGGTTCCAGGCGAAGACAGCCCAGACGACACTGAGAGGCAACATCATGTTCAATCTGCCGCGGGCGGCGATTAACTTCAATGACGGCTTCGGAGGTGCCAACATCGTTGCGAACAATCTCATGTTCAACACTTGTCGGGAAAGCGGGGATCATGGCCCGATCAACACTTGGGATCGCATGCCTTTCTTGACCGACATAAGGAGCGGCATGCAGAATCCTTCATTCCAGCCAGCACTGAACGAAGTCAGGGACAACTTCATCTTCGCGAACTACGGTGCCTCGCAAGGTATCGACAATGACGATGGGTCCAGTTTCTGGTGGATCCATGACAACGTCTTCTACGACGCCGACGGGTTCAAAATGGATTACGGAGGCCACGGAAGCACGTTCGAGAGTAATCTGGTGTTCAGCAAGAGGGGCGGCGGTCAGTGCATTGGCACAGGAGACTTTCTCAAAGGGCTTGGGGACATCTTCCGGAACAATACCTGCTGGATCCGTGGCCCTGGAAAGAAAGACGACGTTGTGGGCTCCACAAGTTGCGACCCGGCAGTCATGAACCTCGACGACAACATCTTCGGCACCACGATGGGCACGGCCAGGATGAGCTGTGGCTCTCGTCACATTGCGATCAAGGAGCTCGTCAAAGCCACAGGGGTTGGGAAAGGATCTGTGGCCCAGAAGTTGCCATCAGCCGAACACCTCTTGGAGCAGCTTGCGGTGTGGCTGCGATTGCCAGTGCCTCCAAGCCGTGCACGCGCGGAAGGGCAAGCGGCCCTGTACGTTTGACTACAACGCATGACAGTTTTAGGGCTGCACATGGGAGACTGCCTTCGCCCGCAGCGAGAAAAACAGAGGCAACAAAACATGAAACACAAAACAATGCGCCCGTCTTGAAAGCCTATGTTGGCTGCAAAGAAGCAGGCGGCCGAGGGGATCAGCAATTGAGTAGCCGGCCTCCGGAAAAGCAAAATGGACATCTGGAATCAGACAGAGAAATCTTGAAGGTATGTCTTGTGGCCCAAGCTTCAAGCAGACATTTTTTGTTGACGTAAGGCCGCAAGATGAGTCTGTGGGCGGCTCGGTGCGATGCAGTCACTTGGGGTTGCGGGCTAGTGGCGTTGTTCTGGCTTAGCATCCGATGTGCTGTTGTGGGTCCCTAAACCCTAAACCCTAAACCCTAAACCCTAAACCCTTAAACCCTAAACCCTAAACCCTAAACCCTAAACCCTCCATTTTTTTGTCAAGGCAGAGGTGTTGACAAGGAAGGGCGATCTTGGAGGCTTCTCGTACTTTTGCTGAGTGTTTTTGGGTTGGGTGCCTTGGGATGTTTCCCCCCTTTATACTAGCAGCTCCTGAATAGGGACTACAGTACCCCCTGTAATAATCCCTATTCTACGAGTTGCTTAAGAATCCCCAAAAAATAAAAGATGTTCTTCCTCAACAGGTAACAAAGGTATTGTTGTTTTTCTTTTTTTTGGGGTTCTTAAGCAAATAGAAGTATTAAGGAGCTGTCAGTACAGGGGGGGAACATCCCAAGTTGGGTGCCTTGGGGATGTCTACGGACCTTTCCATGCCCTCAACTCGTGCTCAGTAGGGTTTAGGCTTTAGGGGTTTAGGGGTTTAGGGCTTTAGGGCTTTAGGGGTTTAGGGGTTTAGGGGCTTAGGGGTTTAAGGGGTTTAAGGGGTTTAAGGGGTTTAAGGGGTTTAAGGGGTTTAAGGGGTTTAAGGGGTTTAAGGGGTTTAAGGGGTTTAAGGGGTTTAAGGGTTTAAGGGGTTTAAGGGGTTTAAGGGCTTAGGTCTTTCCCGGCACCCTCACCCAAGCCTGGATGCAAAAGGGGCTTAGGGGCTTTGTCTTTCCCTTCGGGAGAGGTATCTCCTCGGACACCCTTGCTCCCAGACTGCCCCCTTCCCGCACCCCCATGCCAACATCCGGCATGAGATCTTGAGGCTGAGTTGAAGCTCGAAGCCAGCCGCGCCAAGGCGCGCTGTCGTGTTTTTTTCAGATACCATGCCAAACCAGGGCGAGCTCTTCTGTGCACTGAAGCGGAGGGCCAGATGTCCAGCTAAAGCCACAGATGATACTGATGCAGGGGCCGGCCTTGTGTGGTGGACTGTGACCAGCTTCAACAACCGAAACACAGCAGATTTCTGGAAAGTCCAGAAGAATGGCTGTTTCAAGGCCCTCAAGCCTAGTACTCGTACCCGGAGCCCTATAAACCTCAACGGCGTCCCCGCGAAGTCCGAAGGGCCACGCAGGCGCCCCTGAACTTTGAGATTTTTTTTCGGGCCTTCCCAAGCTGCATACGGGCATGGTTTAGGGTTTAGGGTTTAGGGTTCAGGGTTCAGGGTTTAGGGTTTAGGGTTTCGGGTTTAGGGTTTAGGGATAGGAAGTATGAAAGTATACAGAATGTAGAAGTACTGTTGTACCGTGGGCGACCAACCACAGTGTGTCGGGAACACAACACATGACCGACTGTGCTTTGGCCCCGCAAAATCCGGTTGTCCATATATATATATATATATATATTGAACATATTTTTTATTTTTATTTTTGGGGGGGGGGGCTGCTCAAGGTAAGGTTTGGGCTTCAGGGCTCATGCCACCAATCGTACCGCCAGTGCGGTGCACGCAGCATACCGCCAGAAAAGTCGGTGCATTAGCGCATCTTCAAAGCAGAAGCCTTTGCTAGTTTAACCGGGGGAGTTTAACCGGGGGGCTTGCGCAAGGTGCTTCGCTCCACTCTCCCCACCATCGCTGGATGTAGCCGCAATAGATCATGGCCTCCATTGACTCCCCAACTCTCCTCGCAGTCTGACCCATTCAGGGCACGGCATGAGGGGCTCCGGACCCTTCTCAAGGCCAACGCCGGATCTGGGGGCTGTTTTGGGGTTTTGTCGGTACTTTGGGTCTTCTTTTTTGCGGCATTCGGGCTGGGGTGAATGATGGGCTTCCTTTGGTTCGGTGTGGGGGCTGAGAGCACCTGCACTGGGCTATTGGGGCGGCGCAGACTTGGATGCATCGGTTGTCAGAGGATCCGGGAATTTATGTGCATGTTGGCCCAGACCCGAAGAAGGATGTCGGTTCAGCTGTGAGATGCTGTGAGACTTAGATCAGCCGAAGGCTCTTGCTACATGAGTGCACCTTGCCAAGAGAGTTTCCTGAACTTATCGGGGCGGCTCGCGCTTGGGCAGGTCTGTCTCTGCTAACTTCCGGGACTCAACCTTGGAGCATCTTTAAGCCTCCCGCAGGCCGGCAACAAGCTGAATAGGGCTGGAAGTGCATGGGGGCATGTTGAGATGCAGGGCAGAATTGAACAACAAGGAGGTGTGCTGCGAATGAGATGACGAGAATCGTGGACTAGAAGAGTACGATGGCGAGTATGCAGAACGCAGGCAAACTGATCTCAGCTTTGGCTACAGGATGTACTGGAGCTGGGGGGGCGTTTCCAAGCTAGACCTTGACAAAACAATCGGGATGCCAGGTTGTTCTCTGAATATTTTCTAGGCTTCGGCTGAGCTGACGGATGAGTGGCGAGATCAGCTGATGCCAGAACTGTTCCCGCGAGGCTCGCGTCGCAAAGGTCGATGAAGAGCTTGACAGGACGCAGACTCAGGCGTGGATTGCCGGACAGCACACCCAGTTCGCACAAGTGCAAAGAGGCACCTAAAGAAGCGCAGCAAACCGTGCCTAGAAGGATTTGGATGCTAGACGCCGGACGTTCAAGGCATGTTTTTTCTGGACTTCGGAGTCCAGTCACGTCCTGTCCGCCAGTGCCGGAGCGTTTCATGCGTTGCATTGAACAGAACATTGTGTTGGCAGTTAGCAGTTACTGAGCTTTTTGCACAGCTGCTCATGCTCAAGGCACACCCGGACAGGCATCACGAAGAGATTGTCGCAGAGTTCGCTCGGCACTAGCGCAGTTTAATCCAAGCCAGATGTCTAAGTCCTAAACTACACTATTAATCCTGAGACCACACCCAGGAATTCCGCCACCTGGGTCGCCGGGACCTATATCTGAGGGCACGCTGCTAAAGATGCACACGCTGGTTTTGTTCAACGGCGCGCTGCACATGGCTTAGTAGGAACCTCACTCAGCAAGCTTCTACTTTTCACAGGCAGTTTCGCATTGTTTCACACGCCGACCGGCGGAAGCAGGATGAAAGGGAAAAACATCTGGATGGGAGGTTCTTGGACTTTGCTCACCGGTCTTGTCGGCTGGCTGCTAGATATGTTGTGGAGCACCCTGAGCTGATGCCAGTCTTCAAGGATGAGTAGTCAGGCTTTCATGCCAGCATGCGTTTCAAGACAAAGAACCTTGTGACGTGCCAGTGTGTAGCCCGTGCTTTGCTCATGCAAGCCGAGTTAGACGTCGGGAGCTGAGCAATAGTGATTGGCCGGTCCTTTCTGTTTTGAAGTACATGCCATGTGTTCCGTATGCTCGGAGATGCCTACACCACACCAGTTCTGTCGCCATGTGTTAAGGCGTGCCGCCCAACAAAAGGCGGCGTAACACAGCTCGCATGCCTTTCGGGGGAACGCCTTCAAAAGCGCTGTCGGGAGTTGGGGCACCATAGGAGCCCCGGGAGGCCGCAGCAGGTTTCTCACACAATTTCTGGAAAAGGGTCTCGGTCGCTCGGATCAAGTCCATCACAACACCAAACGCCCGACACCTAGTTTGCAATCCCCGCCCGCCTGCATTGGGTGGACACCCGCTGCCCGTCCCACAAGCCCCCGCGGGCACCAAACTTCACATTTCTGGCTGCTGGCCCCGAACATGCCTGCAGATTCTCAGATGGGGTTTGACAAATTCAGTGTTGTGCCTTTTGCCACATGGCGTGCCAAGGCGGTGCTTGCCTTTTCACACTTGTTGTGCCTAATCGCCTCCCAAGAGCCAAGGCCGTTCTGGCACACCAGAAAAAATTTGGGAGCGGTCGACGGACTTGCTCGGCACTCAGTCGTGGCGAAACAAGTTCCGAGCCACAGGCCACGGCTGGCACTAATGGGCACTGCCACAACTAGGGGTGAGCCATCCTGCCCAAGCAACTTCCGTGGCAAAGAGCCTGCAATTCAGCACAGTGTTGACAGTGTTCTGATTTGAAAGTGTGGCATTGTCACAGCATTTGAGTCGTCGCAGAGATTGAATGGTGCAAGCGACCCGCAGCAAAGCAAAGCCCTCAACATTTAAAACCTTGGTAAGTGTTCAATTGTGTTTGTAGCTTCTCGTATCATGATGCGTATCACGCTGTGTCTAAGAGGACAGCTCATATCCGTCAGGCCTGTCCAGAGCCTGCAAGACGGCTCGGCAGGTGGCTGCGGTAAACACCTGGTGCATCCTTAACTATACGGCTTGCGTGAGCCCCTAAGCAAACCCGTCCGCGCTTTCATGCAGCCAGCTGACCTGAACCCCATGGCAGCCATGGCAGGTCAGAGCTCCGACACTGTCGACGTGAAGGAATCTGGGAAGTTCTTCAGCATCAATCTACTTAGTCCGAGATGTTGGAGCAGAAACTACCCTGCACGCTTGGCTAAGCCTTGGTGCGCTGAAGGACGGGCCCAATCCTCGCGCAGAATGGGCGGTAAGTTCGCGTGACAGTGCAACGCGTCAACGATTGACCTATACTTCTGCAGCAAAATCCCCACCTTTATGACGATTGTACACTTCTTCCATAAACGAGATTCCAAGCATGTCATCTGGGTGAGTGACAATAGCTTTGTCTTCCTTTATGAAGAACTAAGAGAACCCAACACGACCACCGCGGAGCCACCTGAACACGCGACCCGTGGAACCTCTATCGGGCTCCTTGAGTTTGTGCTTCCACTCATCCACAGCATCCTGCCTAAGTTTTCTTCTTTGGGAGTCGACAAGTTGTGAACAGCACTACACGCAACGGCGCAGGAGCTGACCAAAGTTTCGGGACTGGCTGTATCCAGCGAAATCGAGATTCCTACTCGCGCGGCAATGCGCACGATTATTTGTAACTGTAACTGTAGCGTGTAGCTCAGATAGCCAACTTTGCGGCACATTAGGCGTCCAGCGGGCTGCTTTCTTGTCTATCTCACGCAGCTTTTTGAGGAGGGGCTTGACCGAGGCCGCAAGGTTGGGTTGCAAAAATCCCAGCCACTTGTGAAGCCCCTATATCTGTGGACGTCCGCGGTTTGTCACGGAGTCTTGGGGTGGACTCTGACCGTCGGTTACAAGATGGCAATGTTTAGAGCTGTCGTCCCCTTCTAAACCTTTGAGACCGAGCTCGTATCACGGCGTCCGGGCAGTCTCTGGGCGCGTTGCACGCGCGCGCGCGCGCGCGTGGGTGCATGGGTGGATGTGTGGGTGGGTGGGTGTATGTTTGTTGTTGTTTTTTTTTTGTGTGTGTGTGTGTGTGTGTGTGTGCGCGGGTGTGTGTGTGTGTGTGTGTGGGTGGTTGGTTGGTTGGTTGGTTGGTTGGTTCGTTGGTTGTTTTCGGGTGGAATGGGTTTACTCAGCATAATAACTTGGGGTGGCGCGGTTGTCGGAGAAAACTCCTCCAAATTGGAAACATCAAAACTGTTAAAAGCCAACAACGTGTGCTCAATGCTCAAGAAATTACAATCCGAAAAGGTGGTTCAAACAATATTCGAACCAGATCACAACATGCCTTAGTCTCCGGATTTCCCCCAAACCCGAAGCGCTGGTCCCCCAAGCAACCGCAGCCTGTCGCAGAATGGCCTATCGTTGCTTTTGTCTCTGGCAAAGGGGCCCCTACTATAGTTACTAGCCAACTGGACATGTTCTCTTTTGCAGATCGCCTACCTACTGCTACTAGAGTTCCTACATGCTGGATGGATCTTCGAATTGCTTGCTGACAAACAATGCGGACCGTATAGACATGGTTTAGATAAGACTTCTGGTGATGTTAGTTTAGGGTGGGCTGTGGAAGAATTCTGCTAGGAAGAGGGTCAGAAACTTGAGGGCCAAGCGACGCTCACTTCTGACTTCTGCGAGGCTAGCCGCCAGCTGCTGGAAGATATCTTGGCCGCCCCAAGCTCAGCGTGAGGGCAGGCGGTCACGTGTAAGCAGTCATACTTGGGACACTTGTTCGACCTACCTAGCTCCCGCTCAATACACCGGTTGAAATTTCAGGGACCTCCCCCCCACCCCAAGGATCTTGAGGGGTCCGCGCTGCTGATGCAACCTGCGAGGTCGTTGGGTTGGACAAGCCGCTGCTTCCAGACGCGAGCGCCTTCGACTGCTCCAAAACGCAGGGCTGTTGCTTTGGAGGGTTTGCAACGTGCGGGATTTCGTTGGCGAAATGTCCAACATTCAGCCCAGCATTTCAAACAACAGGTTCGTTCGGTGTAGCGTCCAACAATCCAGCCAGCATTTCAAAAAGAATGTTTCGCGTGAGTTTGTCGTTTGCGTTGGCAGAATCATTGAGCACGAGGATTCACGGCGTTGCGTCCCCGCCCAAAAGCCCCAGGGAAAGATTCACTTCGAGAAGTCACGTACGATATCAATACAAGTGCATATTAGGGTTCTGGGTTTAGGCTCAAAGAAGCAGAGTCTCGATGTCCTTGAAGGTCGAGTATGTCGAAATTCGCGGTATGTGACACGGTCGTCGGGACGTCTGGGGCGCTTGGAGAACTATTTTGGAGAGGTGCTCTTTTGACCACTGGCGTGTTGTTTTTTGTCGCGAGCCCCCAATGTGGTCTCTCCACATTCATCCCTGGAAGAGGTAAACGAGAGATGGTTTGAGAGCGGCTGGGCGCTGCGCCCCCTTCAACGCTGCTGAAAGAGGTAAGGGTGGTGAGCGCGGGGTAGGGGTAGGTCGGGCATAGGGTGGCGGTAGGGGGTAGGGGGGAAAGCCTTCACCACTGTTGAGACGCAGGGTGGATTTGGGTTTCAGGTGTAGAAACATTTTGAATGAGTATCTTGTGGGACGTGTCGCGTTTGGGAGGGCGCTTGAGAAGGATGCTCGGAGTTGCTCGCTGTGGCATGCTACAGGATAGGTCTCAGAGACTTCATGTACATTCGCATCACGCCGCGTGCCTTGTTTTCGTGCTGTAGTTTAGAATCGTCACGCTAATCAGCTAGTCTTTGGTCGAAGTTTTCTGAAAAATATGTCATTTAGGGGAATGCATTTGTTTCGGGTCGGTTTGTTTTGAAGCAAAAATGCAGTTCGTCTCCCTGCAACTGCGGGTTGGAATCTTAGCCAAGCTCATCCGTCTGATGTTGCTCCTATTGATATTTGATGATGACAGCGCGCTGGCCTTCCATCATGCGGTTCGGAGCTGCCACGTGGACCCACATGCCGTACATAAGCAAAAACGGGGGCTGCCAAGCCGTCCTCAGATGCAGCACCCTCAGCCCCGCCTGTGAACATCCAGACACCACAATGCGACAACCACATGTGCTCCGCTCAACCTGGTAACCTCTTCTCTGCTGATACGCCGCGGCAATGTCACGGCGAGATGCCAGTTGCGGCAACAGGCCAGGGCCTCGTGCAAAGGGGGCTTTTGCAAGGCTGGCTTCTTGCATTTTAGAGAAGAAGCTGGGCATTGGGCTCGAATACGTGGGCACCTAGTTCAATCGTTTGGATCCTTCCGCAAGCCGTGGTTTCATGCGCATGTCGTGCCCAGTGGTTTGGCACAAGGAATGCTCGTGAATGGCCATGGCAAGTTCCATAACGGTGACACAGGGGCTTCCTTGCAATCTTGGCCGATAAGTTTGCACTTCTACTGTGACTTGCCTCTGGGACCGTCTCGTGTGCTTTCCTTCGGGGGCCTCAACCCTAAACCCTAAACCCTTGCGAATGCTAGGAGCTGAAGACACTCCGAATGTTGCTGCCGAGGCCTACGAAGACCGCGGGGGCTCGCGTTCGCAAGAAGTCTCGAGCTAAGATTTCAACATGGTGTGGGTGATGCATTCCTGAATCCCCCTTGATCCGCGTTCGAGCTAGATGCACCCAGCACTACGAGCGACCAGCGAGAACATGCGAGAAGTGTCTGATGCGCCAGCCAGGGCAATGGGGCGCATGACGGATAGGAGGCATGTGACGTCTCCGCGCTTGCGCTCTTCACCCAGCTACGCTGCAGGGCTGTCAGGAAGCTAGCCACGTGCAGCCTTGGTGAAACATGCTGCAATCTGCTACAACCTCCGAAGGATTCGCATGTGTTGCCTTTTTCCCACCCAGGAGTTCAAGGACAAGATGCCCGTCTCCCGGTCTCAGGGCTTGCGCGGGTACCATCGGGTACCAGGGTCCAGGGCCACGGAGTTTACAGGGGTTCAGCAGATCTTGACGCTCCAGCGGTTCATGATCTCCTTGGGTTTCATGGGGTTGAGGGCTGTGGCCAAAGGCTTGTGTGCCAGGAAGTATAGACCTTGCGCACTCATGGACCAAGCGCAGTTGAGCTTCGTTCATCCCGAAGCCTCAGCAAAGCCCTCTGAAGCTTTGCGGTTTGGATCCCAACATGCACGGCACAAGCTCATAAAAGCTGTCATAAGGCGGTGCAAGGGCTTCCCATGCTTCCCATGCTTCAGCTAGGCAGCCCCTCCTGCGCCAACCCTGAGCCGCGTCAACCTGAAGTTTGGTAGAAGAATGGTAATAATCGTGGTAAGAATAATGACAATAAGAATGATGGTAAGAGTGGGTAATACTGATAGTAAGAATGGCAATAAGAATGGTAGTAAGACTTATCATAAGAATGATACGAAGAATGAGAATAAGAATAGTAGTCATGATAGTAAGAATGGTAATGCGATTGCTAAATAAGCATGACAGCTAGAATGATAACTAGAATGAGAATCGTAATGACAATGGGTTGTAACCGGTGGGACGACGTGGGATGTGTCACGGCGGGGTTTCTGCGGGGATTGGCAGCTTCAGAGCCGCCACGGAGTATCTTGTGAAGAGTGCCGGGGCCGCGTAGATGCAACTCAGTAGTAGAGTAGGTAACCTTTAACCTTTTTTTGAGGTAGTAGAATCCCCTTATAATCCCCTTATAATCAATCCCCTTACAATGCCCTTATAATCCCAAAGGTGAACCTTTAATTCCCCCAGGTTGCTGGACAACTGGTACCCCAAGCTTTTCTGCTGGGAAGGGTGGTTCTCTGATCCAGGCTTCGCAGCTGAAGATCAAAGAGGAGAGCTGCTGATGGGCTCGAGAAGGCCCGGTACTGGCCAGCATCATTGCTCAGACGAACATGGCGGAGCTATCCAGACGAATAATTGATGGCAAACCGTTTCATCATGTCTGAGCTCATTTGAAGTCATTGCATGCTTAGACGCCCAATGCTACACTCTGCAGCGGCTTAAACCTGGCACTTCTGAAGCCATTCGCAGAGATCAAGTCCGAACTCTCTCCCCCTTAATTAGAGCGAACAAGCCGCTCGCTCAAAGCGCCCCCAGCATCATCAAGACCATGGCCAGCTCGTCTACACTTCCAGTCATCAAAGGCTCCTCACCAACTCGCTCTTTGAGTGTAGCGGTGGCTGAACAAGAGGCCTCGCTCGTGCGACAGGTGGAGCATTGGCGCCAGATGTACTTGGACGCCGAGGCATCCGTTACTCAAGCCAGGGCTGATGAGGCACTCCTGCAGAAACAGCTGTGTGGTGTGCTCGAGCGAGAGCGTTTGCTGGCTTCAAAGAATTTGGAGCTTCGCTGCGCCTCGCAAGCCAAGCAAGCGGATGAAGAGGAACAAGCCCGGCAAAAGGTTGCGCTTTGCGAGCAACTCAGCAGCGCGCACGTGATGTTGCACCGTAAGGAGGAAGAGCTGCAAGACAGTCGGAGGCAGTCCATCAATCGAGGCGAGCAGGTGGAAAAGTTGAGGGATCATCTTCAACAGAACCTCTTTGACATGAAGCAACACAAGGCAATGAAGTCAGAAATCGCTGACCTTCGAGAGGAGCTGGAAGCGTCCTTGAAGAAGATTGGTGCAAAAGAGCACCTTTGTGACACCATGGATCAGGAGCTGAAGTTGTTGCGAAGTCAGCTGGCGGCAAAGGAGGTAGAGTTGGCCCAGTCGAAAGGAGAGCTGAAGAAGAAGACTGCCGAGGCCGAGCAGCAGAGCAAGTCCCTCCAGCGGGAGCTCTCGGACGTGCAAGCACAACTCGATGCATCTCTGCAGAAGATGCCGAAGAAGGAGCAAGAACTGCAGCGGCTTCAGGCGCAGTTGGTCGAGAAGCTGGGTCAGAATTTGTTGCAGAATCGTTTTTACTATTTTTCAGAACTTAATCCCATAAAAGGAGCATGAAAGTGATCCTTCTTGAATCGTACCCCTCAACGACAATGGTGCCGGAAAGAGGGCCTAAACCCTAAACCCGAAACCCTCAATAATATTCAATAATTGTGCAGGAAAGACGGCCAGCTCCAAAAGCTGCAGAAGGGCCAGGACGCCACGAACGTGGAGCTGGCCGAACTTCGCGGCAGGTTGGAGGTCGCTTTGGAAGACTGCGCCGCCAAGGACCACCTAGGGTTGTATCAACGTTAGAAAACCCTCTAAATTTTAGGGTGTTTTCACGTTAAAAATCACCCTTTCAGGCTTGTTTTGAACGGGAAAAGAAAACCCGAAACTGCTCCAAACGAAGGAGCTCGAAGTGGCGAAGCTCAAGGATGACCTTGCCAAGGAGCACCTTAGTTAGGCCCTTCATTGGGAGATTTTGTAGTTTTGCGGTATTGGGGTTTGAGAGGATAATTATGTAGGAATAGTTCTTATCAGAGGGTCTTATGGACCATCCGAGGCACGATGCCTGCAAAGCAGCTGTGTCCGAGAACAGCGGTTTACGGTCCAGCTCTCAGTCGGTAAACTGCCAGCAAACAGGGAGGCTTGTGGAGAGCGTGCCGAGGCTGTGTACATGTAGATGCGCACATGTATACATATGCATCATCTCTCTCACTCTCTTGTGTTGATGTGGGTGTTTTTCATGAGAGCGAGAGCTTTTCTGGAAGGCAGATCTGCTGCGACAAGCTGAGCGAGCTCGGGGAGCAGGAGGTGAAGCACCAGAGGCTCGTGACGCTGCTGGAGGCCGAGAAGGACATGTGGCTTCAGAGGCGTGACCGGGGATGTTAAACCTTATACTAACAGCTCCTTAATAGGGATTAGAAGTTCCTTAATAGGGATTTTAAGCTCCTTAATCGGCACTATCAGCTCCTTAACAGGGATTATACTAAGGGGGATACTCTAAAGGGGAGCATCCCGAGGAGTGACCATCTGGAGAAGGCCAACGCTCGTTTGCGAGTGGACTTGCAGAAGAACCTGGACGTGGCTGAGGCAGAGATGACTTTGACACCGACGCCGCCACCCCGACGCCCATCCACGGCGGGATCATTTCGTGACAGGGTTGGCCGGACCCTCCTTCAACATCGGGTGTGCGAGGGCAAGACGAGGAGCTTTGATGCGGAAGAAAGGGAGGCTTGAAGATACTTCAGGACTTGGAAGGACATGTTGAAGGCATTTTGAACCTTCTTGATGCTTCGTACGCCTAAGGCACGAGCTTCAGAATGTTTTTACTACGTTGCCCCCTTGTACAGTTAAGTGGCTGTGACTGGACACGTGTGCTTTGGCCCGTGTGTTGTGTGCGAATGGCAAGATGCCCGTTCGTTGCACTGCTTGACCGGCAGCGACCGCAGCTGGTCAATCAGCTTTTTGGCTTGGGAGGTTGCACCCTTGTGCTGTGACAACGTCAGCAGCTGCGACCTTTCAGATCAGTTAACACTTGCAGACATCGGCGAAGACGGACTGCAATCAAGCACAGTCCCCTCAAAAAGGATTGCTGCTGAGTTGTTTCTTTTTGTTGTTGCAGATGGGCCAGTGAAGATCAGAAAGATCATGCTGAATGCTTACAATGCTTACAACCTGCCATAACATGCTTACACATCACCGGCAGGTGAGAGCTGCATTGGAAGACCTGCGTCGTGGAGGCGAAGAGGGACAGTTTCATCGGAGCCTGTTGACTTGTACCTGCTGCTACCTGCCACCTCAACTACCTCAATCTACCTCCGACTCGTACCTTTCCTACTTGATTGCATCCGATGCACCTGGTCTCAATCAGCCTGTTGGCTAGGCCAAACTGCGGTTGCCTCAGCTGCCTGCCGACTCCTGACAATGTATCCTTGTGCCTACCTGCAACCGACTCCTTACAGCCTACGACCTATGGCCTGCTACCTGATACTTAGTGCTTCCTCCACTCTGCTCGCAACCGATTTAAACATGTTACTTCATAGTCGCTTGCACGCTGCAATCTTGCAGAGATTGCTTCTGCTATAACCGTGCTTCACTGTGGCTTCTAACCCCTGCTACCAATTACCTGCTACCACTCTTCCACCTGATTCCCTACCATTCATTGCCAACTTTTTTCCTGCTCCGCAGACGAAGGTTAAAGTTAGAGGTGAACAACAACTACGGTGTACAGTGTACATGTGCAAGGCACCGTGAAGGCCCCAAAGGCCTAGACTGTAGTGCTCCGTCAAGCAGTATTTAGTACTCTCCGCCCTTGAGGGCTCGTAGCGACCAGGACTTGTTTTTGTGGCAGCGGGCGTGTTTCAAAGTAATCATTTGGCATGTACCACTTGGTGTTTCCTGGTTCTGTCACCGATTGCGCCATCAGAATCAAAAAATCTTCGCGACCAGCATGTGAGCGCACTCATGTGGTATGTCACTGTTCAGCAAAGGCCTTGGATGGACAGTGCTTTGACCTAAACCCTAAACCCTAAACCCTACAACCTAAACCCTAAGCCCTAAACCCTAATCCCTAAAACCCAAAAACCCCTAAAACCCTAAAACCCTAAAGCAAATTGTGGTTCCTGTGCCTTGGTCCTTGTGTGGCGCAAATCCTGCATGGGTCATTTCGTTTTTGAGCATCAAGCTGGATAGGGAATCGGATGCCAGATCGATGTCGAAGCGTGCCAACGCCAACGCTGCCGCGAGGTACTGAGCTCGTATAAACAGACTTGGGGTTTGGGGTTTGGGCGATGGGTTCTCAGACGTTTTCTGGGAAGAGCCCTGAACCGGTACGACTTTGAGCAGCTCCCCGCTGTTCTGAAGTCCACCAGAGGCCCTTCCGTGAGCACATGTCCGGCTTGACAAGATGAGAAACTCGTACTTTTCAGAAGCCCGCATGAGGTGGCCAGCGACTTCTGCTGTAGCGGCCTTGCAGTGTCCCCCTCGAACTCCACGAGAGCTCAACCCATGTAGGGCCTCCAAATTCAGAAAAATGCAGTCCTTGAAATCGAGTTCCAGTCACGTAGGGGCCTAAGGGCATTGCGTCCAGCACTGGTCTGCGGGAGACCCCCAAGATCGTGGCACGGCATCCCCACATCTCAGAAATGTCCAGCTTCCACCTGAATACAGGTGGAAGATCTCTCTGCTGACCAGCATCGTGCTGAATACTCGGGACCTTTTGGGACAATCTGTGAGGTAGCTCGTGGGCGTACCCCAAGACTTCCTTAACCGACGGGTATGCTTCTGTTGCATCCCTTGGCTTCAGATGGCATCCTATTGATTCTATGGCAAATGATGGTCAGAAGCAGGGAGTCCCCCAGTCGCTTGAACTTGTGAGGGCGGCTCCAAAAAGATGCTGCCGTTTCAGCTTCTGAGTGGAAACTCAGGTCTTACATGGCCTTCGTTTGCATTCTTTACTTGGTGACTAGTTGTGCTTAGAAGGAAGCTCCACAACCTCTTGCTTCCAGGTGGCCGGCATTTCCCCTCCTTTTCCACCAGGAAGGAAGGACGCTCACCCTCAAGCGTGATGCCCGGCAGACTTCTTGCTGCCTTTTTTTGTTGCAAGCAGACATGTCGCCTGCGTGTGGAATTCGCTGCCTAGGATCTCCAAAACGGTGGCCTTCCACAGGACTCTTCTTCGAAGTGGGTACTCTCGAGGTTCCTTTTGCTTTGTGTTGTCTTGCTCCGTACATGGACTGCTCAAGTGTGTAGATGTAGCACATCCAGTCAGGGAGCCTTATGAAATCTGACTTCCACACAGGTGTTCCATGTCGATCGTTAGCCGAGTTTAGTGTGCCAGTTAGGACTGCATACAGAGATCGCCCAGCTAGACTTGATACCCGGAAGAGAATTGCTGTGCGCGGGCTATTTGCTACGGAGCGTTTTTGTTGTGGACGTGGGTTGGGGGGGGGTTTGGTCTAGGAGGCGACAGGGGCAGTTGTCACAGAAAGCAGTGTCCTCATGATCGGCTACTTAGGGTTTGGAGTTTAGGCTGTCATTTTAATTCGGTTGAACGTGTAGGGCGAGACTGCAAGTCATGAACCTGGTCATCCGTGGCATTAGTGTCGTGTGGCCGGTGTATGCTGGTGTGTCAGGATTCAGGATGAAAATTACCCTAAACCCGAAACCCTAAAGAGTAAACCCTAAAAAGGTAGAAGTGCAGTCGTGTCGATCCATGAAGCCTCCGAGAAACCTCATCCACAGGGACGCTTGCCCAAAATTTAGGTCCGGCGCCCTTTACGCACCTTCATGTACAGCGCTGTATTTAGGGTTTAGGGTTTAGGGCTTAGGGCTTAGGGCTTAGGGTTTAGGGTTAGTTGAACAATATGTGGACGTCTTTTGCGACAAGCGCTTTTGCCCACCCCAAGCCTTTGAAGCGCTTTCCCATTCCCGAGCATCCCTTTTTGGATTTGAGTAGTAGTAGTAGTAGTAGTAGTAGTAGTAGTAGTAGTAGTAGTAGTAGTAGTAGTAGTAGTAGTAGTAGTAGTAGTAGTAGTAGTAGTAGTAGTAAGTAGTAGTAGTAAGTAGTAGTAGTAAGTAGTAGTAGTAAGTAGTAGTAGTAAGTAGTAGTAGTAGTAGTAGTAGTAGTAGTAGTAGTAGTAGTAGTAGTAGTAGTAGTAGTAGTAGTAGTAGTAGTAGTAGTAGTAGTAGTAGTAGTAGTAGTAGTAGTAGTAGTAGTAGTAGTAGTAGTAGTAGTAGTAGTAGTTAGTAGTAGTTAGTAGTAGTACTAATAGTAGTAGTAGTAGTAGTAGTAGTAGTAGTAGTAGTAGTAGTAGTAGTAGTAGTAGTAGTAGTAGTAGTAGTAGTAGTAGTATAGGAGTAGGAGTAGGAGTAGGAGTAGGAGTAGGAGTAGGAGTAGTAGTAGTAGTAGTAGTAGTAGTAGTAGTAGTAGTAGTAGTAGTAGTAGTAGTAGTAGTAGTAGTAGTAGTAGTAGTACTGTAGTAGTAGTAGTAGTAGTAGTAGTAGTAGTAGTAGTAGTAGTAGTAGTAGTAGTAGTAGTAGTAGTAGTAGTAGTAGAAGTAGTAGTAGTAGTAGTAGTAGTAGTATAGTAGTAGTAGTAGTAGTAGTAGTAGTAGTAGTAGTAGTAGTAGTAGTAGTAGTAGTAGTAGTAGTAGTAGTAGTAGTAGTAGTAGTAGGTAGTAGTAATACTGAGAATAAGAATAGCAATGATAGTAGTAATAGTAATGATATCAATACTAATAGTAGAATAAGGTATGTTGAGCTTTTTCCTTCCAGAAGCGCAACACAAGGCTTGGCCAAATCCTAAGTGCCGTGGATCCTCTTCAAGCATGTTTAGGAATCAGCCGCTTTAGCGCCTCAACGCACCCTTCAGGCTCTTGAAGTGCTTTGAGCTTCTCTGTGGGCTTCTACATGAGGGATTCTTGAAGGCCAAACGTTACCACCAAGCCGCCCAGACCTGAACCCTGAGCCATTCCCGCCAACAAGAACCCCGCTGAACCACCTTTAATGCGTGCAGAGCCCTTTTAAAACTCCGGAGCCCGAAATCCTCGTTTGGCTCGAGCGCATCATGGCATAGCAGCATAGCAGAAGCCGCGGAGCGCGACATGGCAGTCCGCCCAGAAAGCGTCGAGGACTGGTTCCATTTCGTACCGACTCTGCTCGAGGATGAGGGTTGGCAAATAGCCCGCAACAGCCCCGCTGGCAAGCTGCTGCACAGAAGCTGTCCATGGGGTGGGCATCTTGCCAGGATCTCCTTAAGGGATATTGAGGTCCGCGACCCACCTGCGAACACCTCCCACCTCTTCGTGCGACCGGAGGTCCGGGCCTGGGCTGTGCGGACATATCCGGAATTGAATGAGGAGTTGCTCGAGGTGGTGGAGACTCTGGCACCGGGCCACGCCGTGTGTCGCAGGCGTGTGGCGCGAGGATTTCGCGGGCGCGGGCAGTTGGGGGTCCTCTTGTTGTGCTCGCTCAGTGGAAGTACTCCCAACACCAACAACTTCTTCTTCCACTCTGACTCAGATTCTGAGATGCCCGGTAATGTGATCATGATGGTTCGGAGAAACTACCCGCGACATGGCGACAGTGCTCACATGGTGCAATGCCTCTCGGAACACATGGAGTGTGTCACAGTGGGCCGGCCGCAGGGTCCCAACACGTTTCAGCTGGACGTTGTGATGAGGGTTCGTTCGGTCTTGCCAGTGTGGGCCTTCGGGTACTTCGAGCCTGTGGTTGCGTCAGCAAGGGGCCTTGTGCAGTCGTTTGTCAACCGACCTCGCATTGCGGAGATGCGCAGGAAGGACATGCAGTGCTACGCAATCCTCACCATCCAAAGCTGGCGACGCGGCCCACCCCTTGTTCCGGCAGCGGCGGAGGAGGTGGCGCAGGAAGACGTCACGACAATTGATGCCGGCCAGCGAGATGGGCTGACATCTTGGGTCCGGTATCATCCTCGAATGGTTGGCAGCAGCGGCTTTATGCTGTCAGACTATCTCAACTTGTTCTTCAAGAGGATCGGCGAGCAGGTGATCTTGCATCAGTCCGTGGACGGGCAGGAGCTGCTGCCGTACCAGTGTGCCATTCTGCGGGAAGATTGGGACCGAGTGGGGGAACACTTTCAGCGTGCCTACGCTCTGCAGAAGGCAGCATACCGCCACTCACGTGGCGGCCGAACGGCCCCGAGCTTGTTGGAGTCGCTAGGTCCTCGGTTTCGAGAGGACAACAGTCTCACAGCCTTGCAGCAGCGACTACGAGAGTCCATCGATGCGAAGACAGTTGTACGCAAAACCTTCCTCGATGTTGAGGAGCCGCAGTCTCAAGGTGACAGTGCCCGGCAAAGGCACCGGACGAGCTCACCTGTGAGGCACACATGTCTCATCATGTCTCACTGACCTTCTTCATAGGCATTAGAGCCAGGATGAACTGAGGTTCATTCATTCAGAATGCTGGACTAACCGCTGCTAGACTCGAACACCACGACTCCTGTACATCGTGTCGTCTGTCGGTGCTTCACCCTACTGCGGTTGTTGTAAAGCCGTCCACGGAGTTAGTGGCCTGTGCCACGCGCCTGTGTACAGGCTCCGGCTCTGGCTATGACCGAGTCTTCTCAGCCTCTGCAGCCTGAGCCGGAAGCAAACGTTCGACCTAAGTTTGTCTGCTTCGGAGCTTGTGCTGATCTGTGCCTCTTCCAGCCCTTTCCAGAGCTGAGATCCAATTACAACGTAACAGCACGTGCAGGCTCAGCGTTCCAAACTGGAGCTCCGAGCCAAAGCCACCGGCCCAGGACTCGGAAGCTCCGGATCCGGATGCAGTTGAGACAGGTTAGACAGGGACCGTTGACTCAGGGAGAGTAATGCTTCTAGGATTCTTGAGGCCGGCAAGCTCATTGGGGTTGGTGGTGGGTACCGACTCCAAACAGAGATGGATTTCAATGCAGACTCCTGGCCAAAGACTGCCCTCGTCCCCAACTCGAAAGTCAGCCAAGGAATCACTAGGGTTTAGGGTTTAGGGTTTAGTGTTTAGGGTTTAGGGTTTAGGGTTTAGGGTTTAGGGCTTCCCCTCAAGGAACCGTTTCTTTTTCTGAGATTCGGAGCGACGTCAGGCACGTGGACTTTACCGTCCCGCAACGTCCCAAGTCCCGAACCCTCTATGTCCGAAAAGCGTAAGCCTAAACCAGCTGAACGCCGAGCACGTACTAGACCTCCGAGGAAAGTCCATCCAAGCGCGTAAGACCCGAAACCCGAAACCCACAACAACTCCGATGCACCCCAGAAGCTTCACTATTTTTGATGCCATATTATTAATAAAATTTTGGGACAAAGAGGCTTATCGGGAGAATTTCAACTTTGACCATAGGGATCTATTCATAATCCTTATATATAGAATCACGATTCATCCGAGATTTTTGGGCGTCAAAGGATTTTTCCGAATGGAATATAGAATCACGATTATATTGCCCACGTCCCTAAAAAAAACACCAAGAATACATATTATCCAATTTACTTGTCTCTAAATTAGAACCCTAAACCCCAAACCCCAAAAAGTTAGGACAAATGTTTGCGACGCCGTTCTCAATGGCAGTAGGCTCAGGCCCCAAGATACCTTGGCGTGGGCTTGGGCTTCTTGCGTATCTTCGCTGAGGGCGTTCCCGTAAACCCTAAACCCTAAACCCTAAACCCTAAACGGTAAGCCCATATTAGTTGCGTCGGAGTGGTGGCTATCCATTGCTTGTCGATTGCTTGTCGATTGCTTGTCGATTGCTTGTCGATGGCTACTTGCAACCCTAAGAATTCTCTAAGCCTGATCAGCCCACCCCCGATCGGTCACGAAATAGGTCACGACCGAAACCCTGATCCAACACGCGCACTTTTGGAAGATGACTCAACGTGTGTCTGTTAAGGATGGATGGAAGTGGTGAGGAATTGCAGGCGATTGTAGATCGAACGGTAGGTTGGTGCCTTAGTTGCTTGCATGTCTCTCGCCCAACCTTGGAAGTGTGTAGTGTCAGAGATCCTTTTGGGATTTTCCACCTGGCGTCCCATTAGCTCACATTCTCAATCGTCTTTGCACGCCCAAGGCCTTCACTTGACAGAGACCAAAGCGTGAGGCTTGGCGCGCCTTGCCCGGCAAGAAGTCTTCAAGAAGCGCTTGCCGGAGGGTCGCAAGAAACCAGCCAGCGTTTCCTTAGCCTGTTCAGTTCCTTGCTGCTTGCGCATCAGCCTAAATCGAGTGCAAGATTTTTATGCTCCCAGAAGGACCCTTGAAACGATAAATTTGATCGAAGAAAGGGGAGGCATGTTCTTCTAACATGTTGTTATCATATGTCTTAGAAAAGCTTTTCGTGAAGAACCATGCTAAACATACCTCCGAAACTGCATCTAAAGTAGCTCAGGCTCACGATGCCGCGAAACATACCCCGAAACATACCGCGAAACATACCCTGATCCCAAGACCTGTCGTAGGATGTTTTTCTTCTTTGCAAGACGTCGCAAAGCAATTCAAGCCTTGCATCTGCCCCTCTGCGCTCCTCACTCCGACGGCTCAAGAAAGGGTTTAGGGTTTAGGGTTTAGGGTTTAGGGTTTAGGGTTTAGGGTTTAGGGTTTAGGGTTTCCTATCTTTGGGGGGCCATTCGAGCTGCTTTAGGCTCGGATCATGTGCTCCATTGCTGAGCTGGCCTGTGTGACTGGGCTCTTGTGAAGGAACTTCGTCTAAGTTACCAAAGTAGAGGCCTATCGTAGAAAAGTATGGTTTCCGTTTTCTTAAGTTCAGCTCGGAAGAAGAAATCAGGTGACTTACGCCTATGATGCAACAGGAGAAGTCGACTGGGGCAATAGCTTGCAGTCTGTGACCTGCGCCAGGGCGGAGGACGGCTGCCCTTGCAACGAGCAGTGGCCTAGTAGTAGAGTAGGCAACCTTTAGTTTTTTTTTTTTTTCTGGTTCTGGGTTCCCTTATAAAGTAGCCAACCCAAGAAAGGGTGCCCCTATTGTGATATGGTACCTAAACCCTAAACCCTAAACCCTTAGTGCAATATGGTTACTGGGCCACTGAGGTGGGAGATCCAATGCATCGATGCCGGCTTCAAGTACTGTGAGAGGGCGAGCCTGGGGTGTGGCAACAACAGCTCATCTATGGCCCCTTTTTGGGAATTCAATTCTAAGGCCCCTTTTTGGGAACTATTTCTTGTAATTTTTGTTGATATAAAACCCAAGAGGATGTTAGAAACAGCTCATCTATGGCCCCTTTTTGGGAATTCAATTCTAAAGGCACCTTTTTGGGGAATTATTTCTTTTTATTTTTTGGCTCATGTAAAACCCAAGAGGATGTTAGAAATATGTTGTTAAGGTTCTTAGGGGAGTATAGCTCAGCTCATCTAAGGCTGGATTCCGCAGCTTCCATGAGCTGCGTGATATGGTAGCACGATGGCAAGCAAGCGAAGTGAATCCAGCAGAAAGGTCCAAGATTATCCTGAAGCACGGGGAGGTTGCAGAATGGAACGTGTCGCTGGTGACGAACATGCGTGGGCTTTTCATGCATTCGGAATTCGACGACGATATTAGCAGGTGGGATACATCAGCCGTCACCGACATGAGCCAGATGTTTGAAGGTGCAGTTGCCTTCAACCAGGACATTGGCAGGTGGGATACATCAGCCGTCACCGACATGAGCCAGATGTTTGAAGGTGCAGTTGCCTTCAACCAGGACATTGGCAGGTGGGATACATCAGCCGTCACCGACATGAGCCAGATGTTTGAAGGTGCAGTTGCCTTCAACCAGGACATTGGCAGGTGGCACACCTCAAGCGTCACAAGCATGCGCAGGATGTTCTACAGCGCAAGCGCCTTCAACCAGGACATTGGCAGCTGGGACACCTCAGGCGTCACCAGCATGGGCAGCATGTTTTCCTGGGCAAGCGCCTTCAACCAAGACATTGGCAGCTGGGACACCTCCAGAGTCACAATTCTGGAGAGCATGTTTTTTTCTGCAAGTACCTTCAACCAGGCTATTGGCAGGTGGGACACTTCAAGCGTCACAAGAATGGACTGGATGTTCTGCGGAGCAAAGGCTTTCAACCAGGACATTGGCAGCTGGGACACCTCAAGCGTCACAAGCATGGACTGGATGTTTTATGGGCCAAGTGCCGCAAGCCCCTTCAACCAGGACATTGGCAGCTGGAACACCGGAAGGGTCCAAAGCATGGAGAGCTTGTTCAGGGATGCAATTGCCTTCAACCAGGACATCGGTGGGTGGGACACGTCAAGTGTCACAAACATGGACAGGATGTTCAGGGGGGCAGCTGCTTTCAACCAGGACATTGGCAGCTGGGACACCTCAAGAGTCACAAGAATGGCGAGCATGTTCGAAAGTGCCAGTAGTTTCGACCAAGATATCGGAGGATGGGATACCTCAAATGTCCAAGACATGAGCTACATGTTCCACTTTGCCAGCGCCTTCAACCAGCAGTTATCCACGTGGAATACTGCAGGTGCCCGTACCACAGGCATGTTCGAAGGTGCGGTGCTGTTTGACGTGTCCCCGTGCGGCGCTGGCCGAACATCCGCACAGAATCTATATCCCCCTTGGAATTTCTTTTTATTTTTGTTTACGTATATAAAACCCAAGAGGATGTTAGAAATGTTATTTTTATTAAGGTTCCAAGGGGAGTCTAGGAATGGACTCGGCTGCATATCCTGCCCGGCAGGGCGCGTCTCCTCTGCAGATTCTGACAGTTGCAGGGAGTGCGGCCCGAACGAGGTGCCATTTGACCTGAGCAGGTGCATGGCTTGTTCGGATTCCGAGTATGCACCGCGGGGTTCGCAGACATGTTTGCCCTGTCAGTGGCCCCTCCTGGCTGTGGAGGAAGGATGTGTATGGTGGCACCTGCTCGCAAGTGCAGGGTGCCTTCTTGTGATCACTGTGATCCTGGGCTGCGTGGTCTCATACTGTCGCAGGAGGAGGGCGGTGAAAGCCGAGAAGCTGATGACGCAGTTGTTTGAGGACCTGTGGGATGAAGGCCCAGATACAGCCGTGCAGTACCAGAGGTTGCTCCGTGGGCTTGGGGTTGACAAGGCCACGGTCTCCAGGCGCATCCGGGAGTTTCGCAAGCTGCAGAGCCAGACGGGCGGAGTGAGTATGAGCTACCTCCTCTCCTCCGACTTCCGTGACTTAGCGCGACTGCGCACGGGCCAAAGCGATCCCACCTTCAATGACATGAAGGAAGCCTTCTGGCTGTCAGGCGATCCGATAGGGCGTTTGGTGATCTGTCCCCGCGATGGTCGAGAGGGATGCGCCCTTGTCGATTGGATTCCGCGTAATTACCGGCGGCAGCAAACTCACTTCATGTCCTGGACCTGGTGCTACCGCCTGTCGCAAGTCACAAGCGCCCTCGTCATGTACAGCAGGGGCATGCCCGAGCTGGTGCCAAAGGACATCTTCTTCTACATGTGTTTTTTTGTTAATAATCAATTCCGCATAATCGTAGAGGCCGCCGCCTCAGGAAGCGACAATCTCGAGGAAGTCTTCGAGAGCAACTTGCGCCGGGTCGGCCGCATGATCGCCATCCTGGACACTTGGGACGCACCGGTGTACTTGACCCGCATCTGGAGCGTGTACGAACAGTACGTGGCATCGAAAGTGGGGATTGAGGTGAGCTTCGCAATGCCGAAGCAAGCTTCCGATTCTTTGGAGCTGCAAGTCAGTCGCGGGAGTGAAGGCATGGCTGCGGTCACGAACGCGGTGAGCTGCGTTGATGCGATGAATGCGAGAGCATGGAAACAGGAGGACGAGATCAAGGTGAAGATGCTGATACAACACACGGTGGGCTTCGACCATGTCAACAAGCATGTCACCGAAGTCATGGCGACATGGATCGGGAACGTGGTGCGAAACAAGGTTCAGCGCGAGATTGACTCGCGCCGCACCAGAAGCTTGACGGAGTCGAACCCCGATGTCAGAAGCTTGACGGAGTCGAATCCCGATGTCTCGGGTGGCGACTACGTTGCCTTATACTTTTGAGTCCTGACGGTTGAAACATAGGTCTCAGCACGGTGCATCTGAGCCCCAGAGCGCTTTTTCCGAGTGTCTTCCCTGGGCACCGCGTGTGACCCCTCGCACTCGCGCAACTGCGATGTGATGGGCTCTATTCACTCTAGTCGAAATCCTGTGCTTTCTCGCCCGAAGTGGCGGCAGCGGGTGTCCGACGCAGTTGCGTTAGCAAAGGCAATGTCTCAACGCCTGCTTCTCCCCATGTTCTCTTCACCCAGAATGTGCTAGAAAGGAGACTTAAAATCCTAGACTCCTAGAAGTCCCCACCTCGGCTGCCCGGGAACAAGCTCCTGAGCCCCATCGCTCTCCGCGGCTCCGCCCCCGCATGCTGTACTCGTACGCAAGATGTCCGGTTTGCTGCAGGCAATTCCCACTGGGATGCGAAGGTGTAGGCAATCATGGCGTTGCTGGTGCGGCTTGATGATTTTCGAGTTGGCTTCGCAGAGAAGCGTCATCTCCCAGTAGCGGGCGAAGCATATTCCAGGCATAATATGTTTACATGTGCATCTCATGGGCTCTTCTGTGCTCTGCCTGAAAGCCTTTGCGGTCCAAGCTCCTGTACAGCACTCCAAGCTGATGCGCAGAGGTGTAGCTCGTAGGCCCCTTAGACTGATTTTCCTGGCCTCTTCGCTTGGTCTCCTTTTTCGAGCTTCCCCCGCGTGGCGTGACGACTCGGTTGCCTTTGTGGAATCTGCAAGGCATGGGCTTGGGCTTGGGCCTGGGCCTGATGGCTTCCCGACTGTAGGCCCCTTGACGGGCCAAAGTTCAAGGGGAGTTTCCGAGCCCTCCAAGGGCTTCGAAGCAACCTGGGAAGAGGAGGAGAGTGAGGAGACTCTCTGGAAGTCTGTGACGGCCTTCAATGCCGCTTGCTGGGGTGCCACCTACATCAGCACCAAGGCCGGCATCGATCAGCTCGTCGCTGCCGGTGTGGCTCTACATCCCCCTTGGGAGTCTTTTTATTTGTTTATTTTTTAAAAACAATTGTTTATATAAAACCCAAGAGGATATTTTTAAATACTATTTTTATTAAGGTTCTAAGGTGAGTCTAGGTGGAGGATGCTCCCATCGTCTATGGCGCCCTCCGCTTCAGCTTGGCGACGTTGCCGCTCCTGCCCTGGGTCCTCCGGTCCAGCACCGCAGAAAGTGCGCGGACTTCGGCCATCGTTGGCAGCCTGAACGGCTTCGCCTATGCCGCCATCTTCACTGCCTACACTTTGGGCACGACTGGGGGCAAGGCAGCCTTCATCTGCTCCCTGCAGACCATTGTCGTCGCTGCATGCACCTCCATTGCTGCCCAGCGCCTCCAAGTGGGCACCGTCGTCTCTGCAGTGATGGCAGTGGTTGGGGTGGGCTTCCTTGAGCTTGCCGGAGGCCCGATGGAGACATCGGCTGGTGACCCTGCAAAAACTTGGGGGCATCGATTGTGCAGATCTCTCCCAGGGGGCTCACTAAAAATCAACGGGAGTCGTAGATGAATTATGTTGAAAAACCTGCCTCCTGCATCAAAGCGGCTGGTCAAATGCCAGGGCACTCGTGGCAGATTTTGTTTCTTTGTAGATGCGCAAATCCGAGGCGACTTGCTTTGCTCAGCTGCGCCAGTTGCAATAGGAATTGGGTGGTACATGTTGGGAGACACGATGAAGAAGTACCCAGACGACACCTTGCCATCCCTTGCAATCCAGTTTGTTTGTTTTACGGTGCTTTTCGCCACGTGGATCCTCGGTGACATCGGCTGGAAACACGGGGCGCCTGGCATAGTGGATTGGCTGGGTCAGGTGCCAGCAATTTTGCAGACCCCGGGTGCCAAGTCCGAATTCAGAGGGCTTGGGGCGCATTAGAGCAAGGGGGTGTGGGGATCGTTGGGGTATGCCTGCATTTGTGACTTGGGAGATGTTGATCTCTGAATCAAGAGTGCTCCTAGGCCCAGGGGTGTTTCAACATCTTTGCACGCCTTGGCCTTGACCCTTGAAGTGGCTAAACCCGGAGTTCAGTGCGAGTGCCACAAAGAGCCTTCCCAGGTCTCTGGCCCCCTCTTCTCTTCTCGACCTTCCTGGGCAATGTCATCACGATGCTGCTGGCCAACCGGGCCGTGCAAAGAATCAAAGTCTCCGAGGCAGAGCCCCCCCCAAAGTGCTTCAATGCAGGAAGCTGTGGGAAGAAGGGAGAGGGGAGGGGTTGCTTGGCAGAGACGGGTCGCAGCGGATTCGATTCAGGTCTCGCTGATATCGGCTTCTGCTGCCGCCTCAGCGCAGACCGCACCAGAAAGCACCAGAAAGCACAGCACATGATGTCAGCGAAGTCAGGTGAGTACCAATGCCATAACATGACTTAAGCTGACATGGCAGGAGCCTCTTTGGGCTGCGCTCGCGGCGATGCTGTATCTCGGGGAGGTCTTCACACTAGCCGACTGCATTGGTGGCGGCTTCATCCTCACAGCGCTTGTTTGCAACGAGCGGCTTGGCGAACATTTTTCTCTTTTTCTCCCACTGGTTAAACTGAGTGATGGCTGCCTCAGCTCCCAAGCGGGCTCCCAGCAGCTAACCGGAATAGATTCCCCAGGAGAAGGGGCAAACACTCCAAGGATTGAGAGAGGTTAGTTGGAGGCCACAAGAATGACAAGTAGGACTTAGGCTAGGCCGAAAGCCTCCTTGACCCTTCTACTCCCGAGAGATCCCGTATAGAAGCATCTAGAAGCCTTGTTGAGGCTTCATCCTTAGTCTAGGCCCCGAACCCTCCCTTGTATGCAGGCTTTGGGAAGAGGGAGACGCCGAGCCCAAGGGTGCGGCGATGATGCCTGAGGTCAAGCAAGGCCGGTTTCCCAGATTCCCCCTTCTGACTTCTGAGCATCGTACTTCTGAGATCCTGAACGATTTGTGAACTTCTGGAACCCAGGAAATGAGAGGAAGCAGATGGAGCTCGTGAGCTGAAATACCCTTTTAAACGTAGATCTCTTCTCCAAAATAAGTGGGGAGTCCTCAAAAGAGGAGCAGCGGCAAAGCCGCTTGCTTCTCCCATGCATTTCGGCCGTCGGCCGCTCGGCCATCCGCTCGGGGGTGGCCAAGACCCAGCCTGTCGGCGTTGTTGGCAGCTACTGGCAATGGAAAAATGCGGGGACCGTCGGACGATCTGCGCTCCGAAGAGGCTTCCGTGCACTTTCGTATCCCCAGTGCTGAAAGGAAGCCCTGAATGACCAGTTGGGCTGACGTAGTACCTCAGGTTTCCGCGGAAGCTTGTTGATGTGCTGCTAAACTGCTCAATCCGTTAAGACGGATATACTGTAGAAGGGATTCTGAAGCCTGGGTTTGCTCAAGATGCGGAGGTTGTAAATCCGACGCTTCCCATCTGTTACACCAGGCAAAAGCTAGAAGCGAAGCTGATGGCGGTACATCTTTCCACGCGACTCTGTTGCGTTTGGGTAGAATTGGGGGTATGCTTGAACCTCGTACATGCCACAGAACTTTGTCTCGAGGCTTTTCTGAGATTTCGGCCAAGGACTTCTTACGAGACGAGGGTCTGAGGGCGACTAGTGCATCCATCCCGATGCCCCGATCAGCCAGATGCTGAGTATTGATGAATGAAAGGGCCCGATGCTCGTCAGCAGAGAGTCATTCTTTCACAGGCCAGTCTATGGGCCTCAACCAAGTCATCAGAATCACTGCGATGTTTGACAGTAGTAGCTGTAGTAGTAGTATTGCTGTCAAGTGTACTTTTCTCGACATGCCCTCAGTTACATTTCAGGTACAATGCGGAAGACACACATCCTTCAACTAGTGCCCTTTCAAAATTGGAGCGATCAGTGCGCAACGGAGGACGAGGTATGCTTATGTTGCATCCCTTGTTGCTTCAGATGGCATTCTATGGATTCTACTTCAAATGATGGTCAAAAGCAGGGAGTCCCTCGCCGTGTCAGCTTCTCAGTGGAAGGTCTTACATGGCCAGATGGCTTTTCCCCTCCTTTCCACCAGGAAGGACCCTCAACCTCAAGCAGGATGCGCAGCAGACTTCTTGTAGCCTTTGTTGTTGCATGTTGTTGCAAGCAGACGTCGCCTGCGTGTGGCATTCGCTGCCTAGGATCTCGAAATGGCCTTCCGCGAGGCCGGTGTTGTCAATTTTCGCCCAAGAAGAGTCCCTTCGTTCTGTGCTGCTGGGGGACATAACAGCTCTTCCCACAGTCAGCTTTGAACTTTGTATTTTCAGCAGGAGTCGCAAGGGATTTGCAGACATCACTCTTAAAGCCCTGATGCAGACTGCTAGGACGCTTCAGACTTCAGATTCTCATAGAGAAAACAGCAGGTCGTCGAGTTGGCCGCTCTGGGGAAATGGCCCCTGAGACGTTTGAGGGGCTGAGCGTGCTTGGCCCTAAATGGGATCTGGCGGAGTCGCCTTCTTTCAGGGCACCGGCGCCCTGGGCATCTGAGTTTGTGGTCACGTCACCGGTGCCGGAAGTAGGATCCGATGGTCCAAGACGTCAAGCACAGACGATCATGCTTGCGCAAAACTAGATTGGATTTGTTGAATGCTCCCGCCTGGTTCTCAGGTCGCGCATGCCTTGCACAAAGCTTCCCTATCCTTCTTTCAAGACTGCGACAGATTGCGTTCTATGTGCGAAAGCCTTTTTTGTGGCTCAATTTTCTGATCGTCCATTCTGTGGAACCGATGAGAATGCGAGACTCTCCATTGTGGGTCCTCCTTGTTGCCGCCACTGTTGCCGCGCAACAGGCGCAGAATGAGGGCATGTGTTCTCTCCAGCTCCAGCGGAGCTTTGGAAATTTTGGAAGCCTGGAGCCAATGGCCAAAGGTTTGCTGGTAGAGCAGCCTGCAGCACATGGGCGTCATGAGCGTGCCCGAATCATGCAGGGGCTGTGGTCAACACCAGGACGGCACTTCCAGCAGTGCCCAAGCGCGAGGCAGACTGAGTTCTTGCAAGTCGACACACTTGCACCACTGCCCGACAAAGTCCAGTGCCGTGAAGGGGTCCCCATTGGAAACTTTAACGGCGACGAGTATCACTTCAGCTGCTGCTCGGGAGGGGACTGCGGCGGCTGCCGCCTCGTGAACGGAAACAACCAATGCCAGCAATGCGCCGCCGGCTATGTCAGGCAAGTCGTTCCGGTCATCAACAAGACGCGGTGCTTCATGTGTGACGACATACCGGAGTGGCACGACATGCACGGGCGCTCGTGTTCAGACTACGCAAAGCTTCACCTATGCAAAGGCCCGCTGACAAACATTTCCGCCAGCCTAGCACTTTCCTCAGAATTTTCCAATGTTTCTAGTTGGTTCCGTTCATTCAGTCTCTCTTCTTTTTTCTGTCCGTTTGTCTTCCTCTGGCTCTCTCTCTCTCTCTCTCTCTGTTTCTCTTTCTGTCTCTCTATGTCTCTCTCTTTTTCTTTGTCTTTCTCTCTGCCTAACATGTCGGTCGCTCGCTCTTCCCTCCCTCCCTCCCTCCCTCCTCTTGCCCATCCTCTCTTTCAGTTTCCCTCCCTCTCACTTCTTCCACATATGCCAGCTCTCTAGCGGTTGCAGACAGACTCCCCCCCCCCCCCCCCCCCCCCTCTATGTCTGACGCCTGTCGGAGGCAGCTGGCCAGCCGAGAGCATGGACATACCTTTCCATGGGCTTCGTCCAAGCGATGCTTGCTGTGTGTGCGGGGGTGGTAATGTTCGGGCTACTCCAACGCAGCTGCCACTATCGGGAAGAGCTCTGTACCTTGGCCAAGAGGTGAAACCAAGGGACTCTGCCCCTGAACCCATGCCAGAAGCCATCGTGGTTGCTCCAAGCTGTGATCTTTCATCGATGGGCTTGAAGCTGGCGAGCAATGGGACGGTCACAGGGACGGCGACCAACGTGACGGAAGTGTCTTGCTCCATGTCCTTGGTGCAGGACCCGGTTCGTGGCATTGCCGACAGCGTCCAGTTGTCCTTCTCAGTGAGCCCGTTCACTTACGGAAGGCCCGAGCAAACAGACTCAAGAGTAGTGGGAAGCCGGATGCTCATCTTTGCATCGTGGGGCTTGGATGGGCTGGGCTCCCTGTCTTTGCTGGAGAGAACGAGGGGCTACCAGCCCTTTGATCACTTCCACGACTTCCACTTGGCCTGTGATCCAAGTTGCCCGTGGCTCTCCGTCAACCCCGATTCCGGGGAACTCGTGGCGAAATCGTTGGAGCCGGAGGTCTTTCCCGAAAGCATGCGCGGAAGCCTCATGCAGTTTGAGCAGAGTCCTTCTTGCAGTTGCCGCGTCACAGCAACCGACAAAGCAAAGGGGACCACAGCAAGCACCCATGTCACAGCTCTGCAGACACGGCTTTGGAAGAAAGCTGTTTACCACGCCGAGAATGCAATCCTTGCACAAGTCGGCGTTGAAATTCCGGCAGTCGAGCTCCAAGAGGCCTTGGGACGAGACCTTAATGACTTGAAGTTCCTTGAGTGTCGCAAGTCCATTCTGTTATATTCTGTTCAGCATCGTGACCTGTTGTCCTTTGGTTTTCACCAAGGAGACGGCTTGCGTTGGTATGTGGATCACGAGGTGCAGGCTCCCGTGGTCGAAAAGGCAAACGGTGATCGATTTGTGGTGCTTCCGAGTCTTGCGCCGGCTATTCTCGACGTGCAATGCTCGGCATCGGACACGCAGGGGACTCTCTGAGAGTAGAGAAGAAGTTGTGCATTTAGGCTCCGCTCTGGGGCCCCTGGGGACCCGATTTAATAAAGTTACACCGAGTTACCCCGGCACCGAAAGCACATCGATCTGACACAAGAAGGACTCGCCTTCTCAGTTGGTCCCGGATCAGCGGAGACATTTCTGTGGACGGCAGGGTGGCTTTCAACATGAATCCACGCACGGGCCTCGTCAGTGGTACGCCGGATGTTGACTTGTCCAGTCCCACGGGCCGCGGCAGTCTCAACATCTCTTGCGACGTAGCGTTGGGAGGCAGTTCAAGGCTGTTGACCACTTGTAGATCATTTTCAATCCAAAGATCCTAGAACTGTTGAAAAGCCCCTGCAAGGCCCACTCTACGAGAAAGAGCTTCCGGTAGCCCGCCTGAAGATCCAGGTCCTGGATGACGTTTGCTGGGTGCCTTGGACGCCTGGCAAAGACTCCCGGAACATGCGATGGGTGGACTACGCCACCAGTGAGTGCAAGCAAAGGTGCCATCTTCAAAAAAATCCCGAAATTTGAGCCAGGCTTTCTGCCCCTTGTCCGCAGGTGTCGTGCAAGAGAGGACTGCGGGGCTGTGTGCGAGCACGGCGCGCGCTGCCTCATCCAGGCTGGCCTCTTAGAAGGCATGGAACAAATCGGGGGCCATTAGAAACTCGTGAGTCCAGGCTGCCAACGGCACAAGCGCTTCCGATGGGACAGTTGGGACCTGCAGCCTGCGCTTGAACAACTGCACGGAGGAGACCACCATCCTGTCACTGTCAGCTCCGGACGCCAAGTACCTGCAGGGAGACTTTAAACCCTCTGTCCAGAAACTCTCTTGCATGTCACGTGGTTTCTGGGCGCCCCCTCCCAAATTTGGTCCCCACCAAAGGAAAACCCGATGCCCCAAAACCGAAAGGGAGGCTTACCTGCGTGGGTTCTTTATGAGATTGGCATTATCGAAAAGTTTCTTCTTAAACGAAGACAATTCGATGCAGCAAGCGGAGCTGGCTAAGGAAAGGCGTGAAAACCTCCAGATCGTCCACGGACTACTCCGTGGTATACACCCGGCCGGGCCTTACGATGGAGAGGCAGCTGATTCTCGTGCCGCCGAAACTGGTGCACAGTGACCTGGACAAGCTACCTGCTCAGTGTAAGGATGCCTTCTGGCTGCTCCTGCACATAAACTCCACTGACTTCCAAGTTGCTGGGAAAGCACCGGAGTTCTTCGGTCAGCCGATGTCTTGCATCAGGGAGGACGCTGTCAGCATGGCCTTCGAGCAGGGCGAGGCCGGCGTGAACTTGAGCCTAAGCACCGCTGAGCTCGAGGATCCCACGGTTTTGCAGAAGCCCAACGCCACGCTAAGAGCCACCTTCCGGCTCTCTGTGCCGTCTTGCCCAAAGCCTCCAGGGAGTTCTGAGGGCTTTGTGGTCGGTACACTCGAGGACCCTTCGTTGTATACTCTGGATGCCTGCGAATGCTTTGGAGAAGCTCATGCTTCTGAGCACCCGGTGTCCCACGAATCGAACCAAGAGGTGCCCCGGAATTCTAGCAACTTCAACGTGGGGCCTGTGGACGATCAGAAGATCTTCAGCGGAGCCTTTGCTTGCGAACAGAATGCCCGAAGCCCAGCATTTGCTCAGCATTCGCTAAGCCGCAGCGTCCAGATTGCAGCACGTGTTCAGTTGAATGGCAAGGGGCAGCGCAAGCATCATTTCCGAGGCTCTGCTTGAACACCTTCTGGCAGCAAGCCTGACAGAGTGCAAAAAGGCATGCCACATGTCACCGAAGTGTCAATTCTACCAGTACATGACGAGTGGGGAAGGGTGTTCACTCTTTGAGCGCTGCGACAGCATGCAATACGTCGGCATTGCCGGGTTTGTGAATGAGCTGTATGGCCGAGCACCGGAAGGATCTTTCTGCCGCGTGGCAGACCCAGAGGCATGCTGGAGGACAATCAGACGGCGAAGCTTGTTGAGCCTGGTTCCCTCCGACTTGCCGTCGTGCTCTTCCGGCTTTGCTCTTAAGGCAATTGTTCTCGCATTTCCTGGTAGTAGTTTTGGCCAAAGAAACGACAAAGTTCAACTATTCACAGGGTTGCTTACTTGCTTCAAGCAGCTAAGGTTTGTTCCAAGAGCAGCATGATGCTTGTGACGTTCTACAGCTGCCCCTTAGCCCAACTAGACCAGTGTAGTCTACACATTCTGAAGGGAAGCACTTCACATTGACCATGGCTTTCAATGCCACGCGGCTGCCTCGGCCTAGAGTGTTCAAACAAGCGGTCAGGGGTGGCGTGAGGGCTGGAGGGAGGCTGTCCGAAAGCGAGGAGGGGGCCGCCAAGCATGGCCTTCCCCAGCCAGCCCAACTACAACCAGAAAGGTCGCGCACGGGGTGAGTTTACAGGGTGAATGCCCATCGGCCAAAGGCCGACACACATTCAGGGCAACTGTGGGGCTACGCCCATACTCTTCAAACGCGCCGAATGCCTTGGATTGAGAGTTTAAGGTTTAACCCAATCCTTAAGCCTGAACCCTGTGCAGACTCTTGGACAGCAATCCCCGACGCCACAGCGGGGTCGGCGGATGTGGGTGCTTGTGATTCCAGGCTGTCTGGCTCGGCGGAGGGCGCATGCGCGCGATGCCGGTACATGAACGCCTCCCTCCCATGGGCACAGGCTGGCCTCCGGAAGAAGCCACTCGGCTCGCGATCTCGCGATCTCGACTTGCACTCTTAAATCACTTAAATTGACTTAAACCTGATCCGACTCTCAGGCCATTGCCGAATAGCATGCCCGCAGCCACGCAGCTTTCCGTCCGCTGCAATGCCTCCTCGCGGATGTTCGTGTCGGGCAAGGGCGAGTGGCACGGCCCACGTGATGCTGCGCTCTTTACTTGTGTCAGTGGTGAGTGGCTCGGAGAGCCTGGGCCGTGGCAATCTTGGGAGAACTACTCGCGCCAGCCTTATTTGCCACACCCAGAAATCGCCCGAGCACAAGGATCTGCCATGATCTGCCTTAACCCAGCACCAGCTCAAGGAGTGACACGGACATTTCCTAGGCTTAAGACCTTGCGGGGGTTTAGGGTTTAGGGGTTTTGGGGTTTAGGGGTTTAGGGGTTTAGATGTTATCGAGGCGGGCGAAGTCTCTTGGAAAAAAGGGGTTTAGAGGTTTAGGGTTTAGGGGTTTAGGGCTCTACTTGTTGGAGGGCTGGAAGGTGCCTGGAGTGTATCCAGATTGGCACGCCGAGCTTGCAGCGGCTCACCAGCGTGTCCATGCCAGAAGCCGCTTGGAGGAGCCTAAGCCCTAAGCCCTAAGCCCTAAGCCCTAAACCCTAAACCCTAAACCCTAAACCCTAAACCCTACACCGGTTGCACCGGTTGTCCGACCCCAAAATCCCTGCAGAGTGGTTCGTCCAGCTTTGCGTTTGCCAAAAAAACAACCTACACCACCTGAGTCTTCCTGAAACGCGCCGTCGGTTTTGGGTTTAGGGTTTAGGGTTTAGGGTTTAGGGTTTAGGGTTTAGGGTCCTGGGATATGTTGTAGCAAGTAACCCCCTCTCTGGCGTCGCATAGCCCTCGCAATCTTAGTCCAAAGGCATCCTGATTCTATATGCATGGGCACCCGGAGCACATCTTCTAACTGGGGGTTTAGTCTCAGAAAACATGAGCATGCGAGGACAGCAGGGGGAACTGAGGGCTGTCTCCCTAGCCTTTGAAGTGTCTCCTCATATGCCATGACCAATGTATAGCAACAATGCTTAGTGGCTCGGGCCTCAGACCATTTCGGAGAGTCCAGAGTGAGATGATTGTTGATTCATTGCATCTGTACGGTTTAGTGTGGCACGAGCAAAGGGTCTGGTAAAACCTCGCCTGCTCTGGATTTCCCACTGACGAGACACACAGGCATCCTTTCATAGCCTCATTCATCCCGAAATTGTTGCCGCGCAGTGTTTTCTGGTCTGCTTGGCGGGTGGCCAGAAAAAAAACCACCCATAAATCGGACCGCTCCAAGATCTTCAAATTTGTCCTCTCTACGGATCTTTGCTGTTTTTGGCCCTTCGCCATACCTTGGGGATGACGAGGCAGTATTCTGACCTCTGCTCATAAGGTCTACTACCTGGAGCACCGCAAGGTTCTGACAACCTATGGCAGAAGTATGTCAGGCTGCGCCACAGCCAGCGCGTTCACAGCCTCGCCCCTGCACTCGAGCGCAAATCCTTCGTGGCAGCTAGACATGAGGGTACCCCGGCCTTGAAATGAGGGTGTTGTCATTGAAGTTTGGGCACAGTATAGTGCCGATGTGCTACAGATGCCGATATGGTTCGATAGGGCCCAAAAAAATGTCCTGAGGAGAAGCTGGGCTTGACTTCGGCGGCAGCATCGTCAACAAAATGGTGGATCAGCACAACAGACCGTACCCTACGCTACACACCACGAGACTGCGTTTCGTGCACCTCGTGTGTTTGCGGCGCATCCTTGCATGAATTGGGGCCGTGCCGCTGCCAGAGCATCCAAGCGAAGTGGATCCTGGATGATGATTTCCGGTTGAAGCAAGGTGCAGACTGTGCTTTCCTCAACATCGACAAGCTCGACATAAGTGCTTGTCCTGCAGGCCTGGACAGCAGGCTGGGTTTTGTGTGCCACACTGGTGTCTGTCATTTAGGAACGCCCTGCTGCAGATACCTCTACAGTGTCACAAGTGCTGAAGACGTTTCCCCGGTTGCACTACTGTTGTGCTCGCAAAGAATGCTGCTTCCAGGTACCTGTGGTATTTCTCCGGGGGAGACTGCATCTTCGGCTACGACATGGTGGACACATCACGAAAGACATGGGAGGTCTCCACGGTTTCCAACAGTGGCACGCCCTTGAAGCTTACGCAAATCAAGTACGTGCAGGAGCGCCTTGCGAATGTCATTGAGTACAAGATTGCAATGGCTTATGACGAGCTTTGCTTAAGCTTGGCCCAAGGGGAGGGTCTCTGTGATGATGACCGGGCCTGCCGCAACACCCTTATCTCACGGGACTGCCAGCAGAGCTTCTACATGGACGGCGACAGGATTGGGATGCTGGAAGATGGCAAGAATTGGTACCTGAAGGTCATCAGGTCCCGGAACGACAACGCCAAGTGGCTCTTGGTGGCCGAAGCTTTCAACGAAAGCGAGGAGGATGAGTTCAGGTTCGGTCGGTCTGACGACGGCTTGCTGTTCACGAGGTCAGAGAAGGTTTCGGATACTTGGCCCACTTCAGCACTTTGTCATTGTCAGAAGTCGTGCCGATGCAGAGGCAATCAACTTTCTCACCCTAGACTGTTGCAGAACCTAGGATGACAAGTGTCTGACGGAAATCTGGCTGCCGACCAGCAGGAGGCTTGAGGAGAGGAGTTACCCCTCAGATTCGGATTTCGTCTCCGTAGCCTGCGACAGCTCAAGGAATGAAATGATCAACGCCAACTTTGCCAGGCGTGAGACTGGCAATCCAAATACGACGACCTCCGGGACTTGCATGAGCCTCTCCAGAGGCGGCGTTGTCCTGATGGACTGCCATGAGATTTCTCACGATGTGAAGGATTTGCCCGGCCCTGGCATCAATATGACCTGCACCAAAGAGGACGAGGTCCTTCAGTCTTGGCAGGTGGAGCACCAGTGCAGCCGTGGTGTGGTTACGGTGCGCTACACGTGCTGCCGAGCTCCGATTGAAGCTGGGTCGTGCCGGCGCCAGGACGGCTCCATCAACAAGCCATGGCTGGCAAACGCGAATTGTCAGATGGGCGTTCTCCGGAGCCAAACCTTGGGATCATACTGCTCGGAATGGGACGCGAAAGGGCCCTTCAGCCATTATTTCGAGTGTTGCGACTTCAAGAAAATCCCTGACGCGAGGAAGTTCCGGCATGATGCGGCGGATGTTACGCTTGAACACTGTGGCGATTCGCAGTACTTTCCTCAGTTTCAATCGTGGCACAGCGAACTTGCGCCGCCCAGCATCTGCAGCGACTGTGCTCAGCTCAGTGGTTGTCACGCGGCTTTATCCTGTGTACAGGCCCCCCCAAACTTTGACGTGCATGATGGCGCCTGCGAAAGCCTGAGTCCCGAAGCTCCACCGGGTGAGTTTGATCCGAACGCCAATGAAGCCTGCTCGCAGCACGCCTGGTGCTTGGGTTACTTTCTCCTCAATGAAGCCAATGAGTCCGCTGCGGGAATGCTCTTCAGGACCCCTGTCCTCGGCAACAGGACACGGGCCGGCTACCACTGTTTCGTAAAGAAGGTGTCGACAGAAACGATGTTTTCCCAGGCTATTGACTTGAATCTGGAGGTCCTCCAGAAATCGCAGATGAGCCCTAAGCAGCAGCAGGCCTACCAGAGAGTCCTTGCTCCAAAGATCCAGGAGTCACGCAAGTCCCCGAGGGTGCTCTTTGCGTGTCCCCCCTCGCAAGAACAAGAGACACTCTGCGCTGAGGACGCACCTCTCTCGGTCCATGCCTTGAATCACGTGATTGCGCAGGGAGGCGCGTCCGGCTTGAAGGTTGAAGCCACCTGCCCAGTCCTGGTGACACCATCATCCACGATAGCGATCGGCAAGGCCATGCCCACCACTGGGATGACGGTTCAGGAGATCTATAACATCCTTCAAAGCCAGGCCTACTATAGCACCTTCTTCGGAAGCCCCCTTCCGCCGCCCTTCAACTCCAGCAGCAACGAAGACGCGGAGCGAGTTGGATTCCTGAGCCTGCCGCCGACTGGTGTGGGTATCTGGGGCTTGCGATGTCCAGACGGAGCTGTGGTTTCCGTGTCAGCACAGACGCAGCCTCACTGCCTCCACATCAATGCCGGCGAGGCGATGTGCGTGTGCGTGTGCGTGTGCGTGTGCGTGTGCGTGTGCGTGTGCGTGTGCGTGTGCGTGTGCGTGTGCGTGTGCGTGTGCGTGTGCGTGTGCGTGTGAGTGTGCGTGTGCGTGTGCGTGTGCGTGTGCGTGTGCGTGTGCGTGTGCGTGTGCGTGTGCGTGTGCGTGTGCGTGTGCGTGTGCGTGTGCGTGTGCGTGTGCGTGTGCGTGTGCGTGTGCGTGTGCGTGTGCGTGTGTGTGTGTGTGTGTGTGTGTGTGTGTGTGTGTGTGTGTGTGTGTGTGTGTGTGCTGTGC